CCAACCCCTGAAGTCTGGACAGACGACGTATTGAAAATGGGCCTCTTGCACTTTCAGCCAATGAATTATATTACTAATCACTCCTTAAGAGGTGCCTGTGTGCCCGCTTAATCCGACCCGTTCAGCTCCCTGGTGCGTTTATGCCTAATCAGCTCGTTAAATCGCAAGGCACCCTTGCCCATCTCCTTAGTCGACCTTGTCATCTCACCTGCCGGCATCTACCAATGGTCTTACCGCTGCCTCCGCTCCATATCTTCCAACCGCTTCCCAGCGAGCTCAACCCCTTTTATAGTTCTCTCCTGCCTGTCAACTCCACCCATACACAGGTACCTCCACCGCCCCTTACCTTGTGTGGTCATGTGACTGCCCATCCGACTGCGGACCGTACCTTACCGGCTCCCTTGCACCCGTTGAGGCAGCGAGCTCCTATCTATGCTGCCTCGCCGGCACTAGAAAGAAAGTGTCATCACTCTGGCCTTGAATCCAAACACCCAGTGTCAGCAGCAAGCTGCAGGGCGCGATGTCAACACCTGGTTCACCCTCCCGGCCATGGGTTGCGACCTGAGTTCCTGTTCACCCGACCACTTGGTGGTGTATCTCATGTGTGGTTGTTTGCCCATCCACCATCGTAAAAGGGATGTGTCCGGGCCTCCCTCCTTCAATATCCTAAAACACCGCCTCTCCTAGCGACCTGTCTGGTCGCTACAAGCAAATGGGGTGACGCGTTGATTATGACCCTTACACCGGTATGGGCAACTCCTGCCGGCCTCCTGAGGTGGAGGGCTTCCGCAAAGGTTACACTAAGTGGGCCGCCTCCGAGGCCTAGTGGAGATTTCCGCAGTGCCCCTGATGCCCCACCAAATTCCGTATGCTGGTAGATTACTCGTATAGAGCCTGATCCTCTACAGCCCATCCCGCCTAATGGAGTTGCTCTTGCTCCGCAATCAGCCGCACTCTCAACATGTGGGTGACCTCCATCCGTGGTGTGAAGGGCCTTGCAACATGGGGCCCCGCCTATTCGCCCTGGCGGGGCGTTTGTGGGTTCGAGCCCCACGAAGACATCGATGTGCGTGTTCGCGTGTTGTGATGTAAAGGAGAGGGATGGCGGGGGACTGGGTCGCATGGGTTTCATGTGGGACTGGGTCGCATGGGTTTCATGGGGGACTGGGTTGCATGGGGAAACGAAGGTTGTGGCATGATGAGCTGTGGAGAGCGGCTGGAGAGCATTTAATGGCAAATGGACACCATCTCGTGCATTTTGTTCACAGCAAACCGCATTGAGATAAGACAACTTGCGTGCCGGAATCGCCGGAATGCTGTCCTTCGTTGTGTAGTGTGTTGTGTCTGATGGGCGTAGGTAAAGTGCAGATGTGCATAATATCCTCTAGACTAATCCTGTCTACGAGCGATTGAACCCAAACTGAACAACTTTGCAGAACTGCTTTGAAGAGATTCGATCTCATGTAACACCTTTGTCTGGGGGATTTGTAGTGCCCCTGGATATCCCGGCGCAGCGAATAGCCGCCGGATTTTTACTGTTGGATACACAGGCGCAGAGGAGGTTAACTTGCACAGCTTCCAGTAACCAAGATAGCAGTGCGCTATTTACTACGCCAACCAATCAATCCTAGTTCTCCTCATCGTCACTTATGTTGGTTAGTTGATACCGTGGAGCCCGACCGGCTCGTGTGCAACGCCCCAAAAACGAGCGCCACCCGCACCTCCCGCACAAGACTGTGGATCGTATGTGGCCAATCATACTAGCTTCACTGACGATATAGCCTCAGCTAGCACACAAATTACGTCAAATAAAAGATACAAAAGATTAAAGTTCCATAACTGTGACCCATGGTCCCTTGCAAGGCTTCTTCACGAGACTGCCGAAACGAAGGCCAATGCATTGAAACAACAATATCCGTTTTTTCTTTCACATTCCCGTTAGTACTTGTTTGTCGCATCGCCGCAGATTGCAGTTGACTGCAGACACCGATACATTTAAACAGTCCAACATTTCGCATGCTTCACTATGGCAGCCAGGATATATGGATTCCGTTGGTGAGTTGCAGCGCGGTGTTCCTCCGTACGTTACGTACGGCTACCAAGGAAACTCAATAGCGTTTCAATAGAACACACTATGAATGAAGCTTATACTGAAACTGTCGCAAGCTAGTATTGCGTAACCTTCAAGACACTTGGGTGTTCTGGAAGTCCTCGCAACTGATCTGAGCATCCGGCATACTTGAAGCCATGATTGACGACCAGGACCTTGGACGGTTCACTGTAAGAGCTTCTGCATTGTGGAGGTAATATAGCGTTGCCTTGGCCAAGTCCAAATTACTTGCTTTTTGTCTTCGTGCAGACCTGGCTGGGCCTGGCTATTATGCTTCTAGTTGTCGCATACCACTACGTCACGGCGGACCCGAAGTACGAAGCTGCCCGTGCATGAAGTAGCGCAACAACACGGGGTTACGTTCAGTAATTGGACTGGATGAGCTTCGTCGGAGGGAAGCTTAAGCTTAAAGGGGGGGAGTCGCTGAGGGCAGCAGGCGGCGTCAAAAAGAAGAAGAGATCAGAAGATAAGGCGCTTACTGCGGCAGGAGCCCCGGAGCAAGACCCCGGTCAAGGGGCAAAGGAGGAGAACGACTCTCAGAAGACGCTCAAGGCCATCCGGGGGTATGAGCTGGACCCGAACACTGTCGAAGACCGCCGCACGGAAGCTGAGAAGCGTTATGAGGCACGGTTCCGAAAGGTGGAAGAGCAGATGTGCAAAAAGGCAGCTGCCAAATCACATAGGGAGCGCGTGAAAGAGTTTAACGAATATTTGGCGCAGCTGTCTGAGCATCACGACATTCCGAAAGTTGGACCTGGCTAGTGTCGTACCACCGGGGGAGCGACGTGGTTTCGTGTCAGTGCCTATTGGTTGCCGTGCTTGGGTGTTGACCTAGAGATAAGACGCGTTATACCTCTGTACTGATATCCTTCTCAAGCCTTCCCTATAGTTTGTTACTGTGCATGTTCCTGGATACGTTAACCGAACCGCGGTCAGAGTTGTTTGTCCTGTCCTTGTGGGAGGTGGCCTGCGGGAACCGCTTCGCCGTTGCGTGACTCTTTTCAAGGATTGACATGCAAACTGCTTCTTGTAAAAGGACTTGCAAGGGTACATCAGCACTCATTGTTCGGTTGACCACGGAGGTTCCGGCAGTGGACACTGCGGCCAAGCGCCAAGCGGCCAAGCTACGTGCGGCCAAGCGGCCAAGTCTGTACAACTTTGCAATGCCTACATCCCTTCTGCAATGCTATCAAAACAGAAATCCGTACGGTTGCGCACTCAGATCAGCTCTCGCATTAATAGCGGCCGCTTCACAGCATTTGTGTATCCTTCGTTGAAGCGATAAAGCACGGGGAAGGGCAGTTTGCCCTGTGCCCCTGCGGTCGGCCCACCCTTCGGAGATTCTGCGCGGCCGGCTATCCCGCAGCCGGCCCCTTCCGTCGTCTTCGCTGCTTCCTCTGTGTTCCGCGCCGCAGCACCCGCACTCACGCCGCTGGCCCCCCCGCAACGCGCCTTAGCGCTGGCCTGCTGCTTAAAAGCATCCATCCACGTGCCTTTACGTTTTACACCCGCGCCTCCACCCGCAACCTGGCCCTTCTTGCCGTCTGCCGGCGGCGGCATACGGCCTGCCATCTGCCGTTGCGGCTGCGGAGGAGCCACCGGTTGCAACGGCCCATTCCCTCGGGGGCCAATAGCATGGCCTGCACCTGGACCTTCCGGCCGCATTGGATTGGCTGTTGGCTGAGAGGCTGTAGGCTGGGAGGAGCTACCGCCAACAGGGACAACCATGCGCGCCTGCAAGGGATGGCCCGAGTGAGCAGTCCATTCTTATAAGCAAGGGCCGTAGGAAGGCTTCAGCGTCCCGTTATCTAGCAAGCATGGAAATAGGAGAAAAAGACGACCCTGCCCTGCCAGCCTTGACGTCAGAGGGATGGCCGTACAGGCATGGCCGTAAGAGTTGTGCAGCGGGCCCCCAGACGCGCCACCAGCGCGATGCGGTTGCCTCATTCACACTTCACCAGACTCACCGCCTCAGCCCGCCGGATTGCCTCCATCTCCGTCTGCTGCGCTATTATCCGCCGTACAACGTGCGGAACTGTCACACGCTCCCCCGCAGCCGCTGCACCCGCAAAGGCCGTAAAAACGTGCAACGTGTCAATGGCCGGCACCAGCGGCACGCGGCGACTGGGCGCCGGAGGAGCAGCTCCCTGCGTCGGCTGCATTGGCGTGCCCTGGCCGTTAGTGGCAGCACCGCGACCACCGGCCCCCGGCTGCACTCGGAACCTGGCATCGCCTGCAGGACCCCGGCCCTGGCCGTACGAGTTGTACGAACCCCTGCCACCACGGCCGCTTTGGAAGACGCCACCGGAACCTCGGCCGCCATATGGCTGCGGCGCCTGGCGCTGGAAGCCGCCTGCAGTGCGGGTACCTGCCGCCGCTGCAGCCGCGATGTTCTGCTGAACCTCCGCCGTGAGCCCCAGGATGATTGCGTTGCCTGCGAGGGCCGTGGGTTAGTAAGTTCCGGGACTATGAGCTCTGTGGTGTCGCACGTTTATTTTTTGTGCGCAACTTGTGTGTCCAGGCTGGTGACATTGGCGGGGCCGCTACCAGCGCGGCAAGACAGAGAACAAGCCCTTTTCCAGCACCCAAGGATGCCAATACAGAATTTCCCCCACAACAAGAGCATTGTGAAAATTAGGAGCCCGGGATGCAGTTGTATTCCCAGCCCAGGTTGTGGCTCGGCCCTTTGGCCCTCCTATCTTCCTATCTTCTCAGCCAGCCCAGGCCGTAAACTTTCCTGCACCCCTCTAAACCTGCTAAAGCCGCACAGCCACAGGCCCCCTCCCTCACTCGACACGGGTGCCACCGCCTCGGGCAGCTGCAGCGGCTGCGGCCCCGGTGGCGTCGGCGACTCGAAGCAGTAGCGCAGACCGTAATGCAGCATGATGTCAGCAGTGCGGCGCAGTGCGGCCTGCTCGTCCGCTGTCATCATGTTGGGTGCCACGGCACGGATGGGCGGCCGGGAGACCAGTGCACGCAATGCAGGGGCCAGCTCCTACGGTGAAAAGGGGATTCGCAAGGAAGCACCAAACAAGTCAAGAACTTTGCGGCTATGGGATGAGTACGCACGCTTAGCATGGAATCTGGCAAGACGGCAGTTTGGGCGGCCAGCCACATACTCAGTGCCATGACGTCAACCACGCTAACCAACATCCCATTCGCTCCCTCATTCCCTCACCAGCATCATGACTGTGATGCCGTGTGAAGCCGCCACCAGGGGATCCGTACCACGGTTGCTGGCCCAACTGCGAACCAGCTGTGATGTCGCTGATGCGCGCCGCGCAACCTCGGCGCCCAGGCGTGGCCAGGCCAGCTGTCTGGGCCGCTCCGGCTGCGCTGCGAGCGCGCGAACATTGGCTAATAGGGGCGGCACGAAGCGCAGAGACGAGAAGTCGCCGGTGCGCCGGCACGACCTAGGAGGCGAAGTTCATGATGGTAATGACCGTGGTGGTGGCGGCGAGCAAGGGAGTAGGGTATGGATGGGCCAATGAGCCGTCAGAACGAATATGAGGGAGGGGGAAGGCAAACCAATTTGCATTAAACTAGCATTTGACCAGAGCCCTAATCCAGCTCCCCCTGCTGGATGACATAACTAAGAAGCGGTTCAGCCCCTGGACGCGGTTTCAACAAGATATGCATCGCTCAATAGCTCTTTCAACGGCCGGATGACCTTGACCTGTTGACATGTTCGTAGCCATCCCCACGTCCCCGACGCACCTGAGCAGCACATCCGCCAGTCCTATGGTCGCCTCCACTTCAGCCGTGCGGCTGAGGTTGATGTCCATGAAGCGCACCCGCGGCAGGTTCTCATGCAGCCCGTTGAGAACCTGCAGACAGTCCGGACGGGCAGCAGATGGCAGAGAAAGGAATACGCAGTGTGGGGGGATGACGGCAAGGAAAACGGAGGTGATGCATGTTGTGAACGCGGGCGGGCATTACACGACTAGTATCGCATAATCCGTGGGAGCCTTCGCTGCTGTTGGTGCTACTTGCCGGCGTTGCCATGGACGTCACCAGCCCGCTAGCTCGCCGCCCTCACCCGCCCTAACCCTGCCGGGCTTCCCCCTCTTGGCCAAGATCGCCCATCTTGGCATCTCTCGCTCGGCATTCCCTGTTTCCAACCGCTCTTACACCCTTACACCGTCCCGCCCGGTACATTGACCGCCACCCGCACCTCCCATCACCGTCAAACAGTTGCCAATGTGCTATAGCCCCAAATCCCACCCTTAACCACGTCATGCGATAGTTGCTTCGCGCCCGAGTCCTAGATTCCTAAGTTTCCCGCCTCGGCAGCCAGCCTTGGACTCTACCAGGTCGTAGTCTCCAAAGTCTTGCAGCCTGTTGCACAGCTCGGTCAGCCGACCGGCAGCACTGCCAGGCGCCATACCTCCGGCGCCACCTCCTCGCCTGCGACCCGCGGCACTCGTGCTGAGCAGTAACGTCCACATGTCCATGGCTGACTGAGTAGTGTCCTTGGAGGCAATGTTCAGAGACTCGATGTCCTGGATCCAAGCAGTACGGCAAAGCAGCGGACTCATCAAACGGGGGGAGGTGAGCAGGGAAAACGTACACAGCTGTGTCGCACAATGCCGTACATTAAGATCCTGTGGGAGCTAATGGACTATCACAAGAGGATTCAGACGACCCCAAACACCCTTCGATGCGTTCATTATTCGGGTTTGGAAAGCAGCACACAGAGCAGCAACAGCAGTAGCAACGGCACGCCATGCAGAGGCAGGGGTCCCCGTGCGCGGGGGAAACCGCCACAAAAAGGAAAGCAGCAGCCACATTGGCATATGAGGTATTGCGCTGGGTTTTGGCCCAGGCCAATCAATCAACAGGCAGCTAGCACCCGCACCTTTATATCGATTGTACGCCGGCCACCTGCTGCACCGCCCCCCGCCCCTGCCTTCTCCCCTCTCCGCGCCAGGAACTGCAGCGTGTTAAGGCAGGCCCGTACGTCCCGGTCAGTTCGCTCCACCAGGAGCCGCAGCGCGGCGGGATCAGCCTCCAACTGCTCGGCCTGCGGGGGATGCGGGCGACGGGTTGGCGGGATGGCGACTCCGGCCGGGTCGGTTAGGGTCCGGGTCCGGGTCCAAGGGACCGTCCACTTTGCCACAGCCCGATACACACGATGTCAGGGCTCACATGTAACCCCCGTTTCCCCCCGTTGGGAGTTACAGGGTTGAAGGGTTTTAGGGGTTTAACCCTAAAAGCAAGGGGAAGCCATTCACCCTGGAGGCAATGGAGCACGTGCCAAGCAGGAAGGAGCGTGCGATGGGGTTTGACAACCGAAGCGGTGAAAAACCCATGGTGAAACTCCCTCCCCGATGCCAAACAGCTTCGCGGTTCGCAGCCCTTTCCCCGGCCCCGGATGGAACCCCACCTGGCAGATCTGCACCAGGCGTGCAGTCAGGCGCTCGGAAACAGGTGGCGAGAAATGGAACACGCGTGCTATGTCGCGCAGTGGCCGCAGCGCGGGAGCGTATAGGTCGTTGCAGATGCAGATGATGGGCCGACAGAGCGGGCGCTGCTGCGAGCCCTTCCGGCCGCCGCCGCGCCGCTTGGCACCACCAGCGCCGACAGTCTTCTTGCCGCCATCTGCACCCTCGTTCTCTCCACCACTGCCGTCATCGTCATCATCATCACCACCGCCTGACACCGGATTGCAGACAGCGGATTGCAAAACACCGGGGACCCACCTCAGAGAGCTGCACCCGACACCTTCCTGCGCCTCCGGATGCAGCACAGGCCTTCTACGGAGGTCGCTTGTAGTGCCCCACGGTAGTGTACCTCCGGTAGTGGGCACCTCCCAGGTAGGCAGAGGCAACTAGGGTAGGAAACAGACATGCACGTGACCGCCCACCCACGTCCACGCCCCCTCCAGCCAGCTTTCAACTAATCCGTAGCTTCGCACCTGTTGCTTTGCCGCCGCCCTTGCCACCGCTGCCCGCTGCCCCGCCCTCGCCCGCGCGGACCAGCTTCAGCAGTGCGGCCACCGCCCCGCCGGTTTCGGAGCCCCCCGTGGCGCCGTCCACCTCATCCACGATCACGCAGTTGGGCCGGCCGCCGCCCAGTACAGCCGTCATCTGTACGGCATCTTGGATCTTGGTCAGCAAGGTCGCTGCTGTACGGTCATCCGATGCGTTAATCTCGTAAGGGTGATAGCCGCAATGCCGAGCTACCACGTGAGCCAAGGTGGTCTTGCCCAGGCCTGTTTATGACAGAAGGGCGCGTAAGGGTTTGATGGCGCCTGGCGTTGGGTGGAAATGCGACCAGCCAATCATCAGCTGGAAACCCGTTGTTGGAAGGCCGAAAACCTGGAACAACACAGGCATGTGCGGGATGCTTCTCCTTTGTGCACCCTGGTAAAACTAATCGACGTCAGAGGGAGCAGCGGTTTGTCTTCTTTCCCCATTGATGGCAAGTGCGTCCCGCGAGGCACGGGCTCCCCACGTCTACACCACGCTTCCCCAGCACTCCACAACCACCTGGGCCGCAGCCCTCACAGCCGCCCCGCTCCCATACCGCACAACCCACCTGGCGGTCCCCCGATAAGCAGCACCTTCTGTTGGGGTCGGGAGTCGGCCTTGCGACCGGCAGCAGCCCCCGGCTTGGACTGCAGCAGAGGGCCCCAGGACGCACCGATTTGCGGGACACGACAACGACGGCATTATACGACATATATGTGTGTGTTACGACAGGGTAGCCAGGACAGCGTAGCTCAGTGGTGGAGCAGCAGGGGAGGTGCAGAAAGGGAGGCTGGAGCCCCACAGCCATTACCGTGAACTCGCGCATACGGACCAAGAAGGCGCTATAGCGGTGGTGGTGATGGGCAGAGGCCCCAGATGTCTCTTCCCCCCCCTGACCAGCCCCGACTCAGCTCACCCCGGGGACGCCGGCGGAGGTCCCTCCCCGGCCGAACACACACTCGTCCCAGTCCTTGACCCACAACGCCACCTGCAGATAGGACAGGAAGCAACGAGGAGAGGGCTCGGGAGTGCGGCTGGGGTAGTGCGGGCGGGAAGGAACGCGACTACGGTCGGAGGAGGAGGGTCGGAGGAAGAGAGGAAGGTGGAAGAGGGTTCGCAAGGAAGTAGCGTGCAAGCTGGTTTTCAGGTGGACACATGCAGCCGCATCGCCTGTCCCCTTGGCAGTCCCCTTGGCAGTCCCCTTGGCACTCTCCTTCGCCTGTTCGGTGTTCGGTCCTTTGCACAGCCTTACCTCCTCCCCCCCACACCCCGCAACACCCACCCGCACCTTACCTGGCGGTTGGTCCGCTCGTCACTGAGCAGCGACATGAAGTGGCGGGGGGCGTATTTGTCCACCCACAGCCTAGCCTCCTCGAAGCCCACTCCCGGGGCCAGGTGCTCGTGTGCCGCTGCACCGGAGACCTGGCGGCGGGGTGGAGCGGGGACGGTGCAGCGCGCAAGTCAGCCATGTAGGTCCTCTCTCTCTCTCTAGCTGGGCAGCACCTCGCACTCCTCTATCCTCCGCAACGAACCGTCCTCATCCCCGAACACATGGATAAGAACAGGGCATGCTCCACGAGCCACTCAGCCCCACCAGCAGTATCATTCTTCCATGCATAAGACAGTGTAGTAGTTCCCGGCGTCCACGATTGTTATTTCGGCTCTTCCAATTCGGGCAGCTGCATATCTACGACGCCCAAGCCACCAGGTTTGGGAGCCCTCGTGCTCGCAGTCAGCCCAGCAATCCTACCCGCCGCCCGCGGCGTCCGAGCCCCGCCTCAGCCACCGGTCTTTGCTCCACCAGGTCTGCAAACGCTCTTTTTTCATCCTCCAGGTCCCCCTCCGCGTTGGCGACCTCGTGTTCCAGGCGGTGCTGCTGTAGCTGCAGCTGTAGCTGCCGCAGCCGGCGGCGCTCCTCCTCGCGCTCCGAGGCCGCCACCGCGGCCCGCAGTTGCCGGTCCTCAAGCTCCTGCAGCGGGCATCAGCCAGTACTGGTACTGGACAGACTGACATGGGCACCTCATGTGCAGGCACGCGGGGCCCTGAACCATTTGCCCATGATTGGCTGGTTGGCTAGTTGGTGTCTCAGAACGACTATAGCCATATGCAGCATGACTCTCAGCCCCCAGCCATCTCGGAGGCAGAGCCCACACAGTTTGGGAACCCACACGGACCCACACGGTGCCAGCCCCAGAATGCACCGCACATAGACCACTTCAGGGAAAGGGTAGCTGCCCTTGGCCCGGCACCGCGACCTGTCAGGTGCTAAGCAACACATACACGCGCACAGAAGCAGGGTTTCCCGTCGTCCCGACGATGCCGACTTTCTGGGTGCCTGCTAGCTACTGCGCCGTTCCCGACAATCGCCTCATCCTTCACCGTGGGGGTCATCACCTACCCGCAGCATATCCGCCAGTGGTGCTCCTAGTAGGCAGCTGCGGCCATGGCGCCGACCTGCACCCGCGTCGGGACTCCCCCCGTGCTGCCGTGCCGCAGCCCGTGTCAGGCTGCCTCGCTCCGTAGCTCCACCGGCGTTCTCCGCCACTCTGAGCGAGGGAGCGAGGGAGGGCCATCGGCAGAGAGCATGGCGACAGCGATGACATACATACACGCGGCGAAGAGGACAGAGAGACAGACACAGACACACACTCTACATGTGTGCGGTGAGGTACTCTACCAGAGTGGATTTACTGCGAACTCCTCTCCGAGCTGCTGCTCTCTGCCCCTTGTCGTTGCTGTGTTCAGCTATCAATCTATCCTCATCATGTCAAAGTATCTTAATAGGCGGATGTAACATGCAAGCCAGCCATACATGCATGTGGGTATATCGAAACTGAGCCAGGGTTGATAGTGCAACAGACAAACCCGAGGTTGCTTACGCGGCAAGGTCGCGTGCGCAACGGCCTCGCCCTGTTGCAACAGACCCCCTGCCTGCCAGCGAAAGAATGGTTCCATGACACGGCCCTGGTTCACCCGTTTTCAACCACGGGGTACACACCTCCTCCCGCACCGCAGGCGCCCCATGCTGCCCTGCGTCGTGCGGCGCCCTTGGGCACATCATGTCCCCTCACCCACCTGCAGTACACCCGCTCGCCGGACGCGGCCGTGACCGGAAGCACGATTCCGCCCTGGATGTTGGATGCCAGGCGCTGAGGCGGGAAATAGGATGACCCCGCTGGCCGCACCGCCTCCTCTCCCACCACCTCGTGGCCGTTGACTGTTCCCACGTCTTTAGCTGCACGGCCTGCCGCTAGGGGATTTTTCTCCGTGGGCGCGGCGGCGGTTGCCGCAGTAACCACCTCGACGCCCTCCTCGTCGTCTGAGCCGAACAGCTCCTCCATTGTGGGCCTGCCACGTGCTTCCGTCCGGGGCCTCTTGGCCGCCCTGTCCCTGTCGCTACCCTCACCTCCTTGGCGCACAGCCCCCGCTGCACCTTGCTGCACTGTCGCCTGTGAACGGGGCAGCACTCCGGCAGCCGTCGCCGGCACTGCAACGCCGCTGCCGACCTGCACTCCCTGCTGCCGTGGGCCTCCAACACCGGCGCCTAAGCCGCCCATTGCCAGGGTCCCTCGTTGAGACGAGGTCAAATGTGCAGTGGCCACTGCTGCGCCTGCCACAGTGGACCGGGGGCTTCTGGCGGATGGCCCCCCCTTGTCATATTCCAGCTCCGCAATCAGGTCATCAAGATCGTCCAGGTCCGGCGGTTGCTGCCGCCGCGGCGGAGGCGGAACCGGCATCACTGCCTGCTGCATCTCAGCTGCCTGCGCTGCCAGGTAGTCCTCCAGGTCATCATCGAAGGATGCTGCTCCGCCAAAGGCCTCCCAGCCAGACGGCGCTGGCCGTGCACCGGGAGCAGCCTCCAGCCCCTGCTGTTGCTGCGGAAGCGGGGCTTGCCGGTGGTGCGGCTGGGGCTCCGTTGTCGGGTCCACCAGCCGGTGCGATTCGCCGTGCACTGAGCGTTCCGGCACCGCCGCCCCCATTTGCCCGCGTGCAACAGGGCTCCTGTTCGCGGCCCCGCGGACGCCTCCTCCCTGGCTTCTTGCCGCAGCCTCAGCTCCCGGCGGCGGCTGCAGATCGTCCTCCACGGAGCTCCCGATGGGCAAGGCTCGGAGCGCATCATCGAGCGCCTGGGAGTCCATGTACACGCCGCCGTCTCCTAGCACAACGCTGGCCGACCCAAATGACTGAGGCACCCGTGCGCCGGCGGGATCTGCAATCGCCTCCAACTCGTTGCCCGTCACGGCATTCATGTATGCGTCCCCATTTGGGTCTGCACCAGGTCCTGCGTCCAGGTCCTGGGTTTCCAGTGGAAGAGCCCGGAGCTCATCATCCAGGGCGGCGCTGTCCAGTGTGTCGGGCAGGATTCGCGGCCTGACGGTGTCGCCTTGTTTGGAGGCGCCAATGTCGCGTGACTGTGTTGCTGAGATGTGGGTACCCAGCGCTGTGGGCAGGTGCTGGGGTGGCTCGCTGCCGGGTTGCGGCTCGCTCTCAAGGGGCAGGCGGCATAGCTCCGAGTCAAGCTCCTGGGTCGTCATAATGGCAGCTGCCGCTGCACCCGCGCCCCGAGCCCTGTTGTGAGCCAGTGTCAAGCCGGGCATACACACATCGTCGGGCTGCCCGCCTGTGGCGACTTCGCTCCAGGGGTGAGATATCCCCCCTTGGACACCTCCAGCAGCCGGGTGGGAACCCTGCAGCACACCATCCCCTTGCGGTTGCTGTACACCGTCTAGGGCCAGGCCCAGAAGGTCCGCAGTACCGAGACCGCAGAAGTCCGGCAATTCGGACTCCATAAGTGCCCTATTTTGAGCCTTTCAAGTTTTATGTTACTTTCAGTTGGAACTTTCCAAGACGTGTCGGATGCAAGGCCTGAAACATCGTCCTGTCACAGCGTCAGCGCCATTCTATCCAAGCATGTAAGTGTTTGTAGACCAACGACACATCGGCCTAGACAGAAGTTTCACAACTCTCCAGCATTGCATGTGGGAAGTAGAGGCTAAGCGGAAGCAAATGCTGATTTCGCGCGCTTTTGAGCGCATGCCGTACTACCTGTTCGCTGCCTTATCAACGGAGAAGACTTTATCGCCTTATGCTCATATCTATTGACATGTTACCTTAAACGCTACCGCATCGTATTCAGGTCCAACCTTTGTCGAGTCAGGTTTTGCTGCACTGCAGCTGCCAGCTTTGTATAGTCCGCAGATCCTAAAGATAGCTGAGAATTAAATCTATCACTATATGCACGTAGTCTTGCCGGATATATCTTGCATGATTACAAGGAACACGGATCCAACAGAGTACCTAGCTGTTTTAACTCCCATGTAACTGTCGCCCTTGGATAGATGTCGACAAAGACGAGATGATTCTTGTAAAAGTAGTCCAGTGCAAGACTGCTGCTATGCTATTTCAGGTCCGAATGTGTCCGTTAAGTTTCGCTGGACTTCCAAAACCCCTGATCAATACTGAACTTAATAACCACCATTTCGGTGCCGGATACAGTGGCTTTACCATTATGCGCACGCCGGGCACAAATCATCTACAAGCTCATTGCCTCCTGGACATCTGAAATGGCTTTCTCAAGTTGCTGTGGAAAGCTGCCATTGCCTGGAGACTTTATGTCCGAGCAAGGGCACGCGCTCAAAAAACCTCTTAAAGAAGGTGGCCCGACAGTTACCCGACCACGTTTACATAACCTAAGCCTTAGTGCCCGAGCAAATTAACAAAATCTAATATACCAGCCTATCACGCACTGCTGATCAACGTCTAAACCAGTTGCTTAGGTTCGGCCACGCATTGCGTGCAATATCACCTGAAGCTCCGAGGCGGCACCGGCATTAAGCGGCCCTTGTACACAAGAGTCAGGTGGCCGCGACATGGCGCTACTTGGCGTGCTGAAAAATCTTATCGTAAGTTGATACCTGGGAGTTCTCTTATTTGATGCCATTCCGGAGGCAGACGCCGGTAAATCAGCGTTGCAACGCATACCCCTCACATTAGAGGGCGGCACAGCATTTGTCTTAGGACTTGGTCACTCCCGAAACAATTGAAACCGCAATTGGTTATGAACAGTGCATGTGGAGAAGTAATCATGTGGTAAAAGCAAAGATAACCGATATCACTAATCATCATTTTGTAAAGCAGACATAACCCATCACCCTCCACACATCTCAATCAAACGGCCCTCAAGTCAGAAGCCTGTCTCCTTATCATGCTTTAAAAACGCACAAACACGTACACGCATTCTCAGTGCTTATGCATTTTTATTCCCGACTCATTCTTACACTCCGACACCTGCCGGTATCGCCAACTCCGTCCAACCACACCCCGCCTGCTGCTCGAAAAAGGAGGTACCCATACCGCTGATGTCACCTCGACTTGCAGGCCCCCGTCACACTTGCAGTGCATTCCTGGAAGGTCCGCTTACCAAACAAAACCCTCATGTTAGCCTGGTCGCAAACTATACACGGGGGCTTTACGCGCTCAGGCCAACCAGCTTCGCGCTCAGCTCCCAGAGCTTCACCGCCTTGACATCGTCCGCGACCTCCTCAGACACCTGGTTCTCAAACGAGCCCTTGCTGCTTGACCACGACCAGTAGGCGCCGCTCTTGTTCAACTTGGGGTCCGAAATGACCTGAACCGCAGAGCAAGATCCAGACCATTTGCCATCATTCAGGGGCCCACAAAAGCTTTATGGGGACATTACCCAGCGGCGAAAGGGTCCCTAAATTTCCTAAACTTGCGCAATTGCGAAGCGCTCGATGAATAAGCCCCCAACACAGAGATAACCCCGCAATCATCGCTGAGCCTGCCCTACCTGCGCCAGGCGTTTGCCAGCTTCCTCCTCGGAAACGTAGCCCTTGGTCACGTACTTCTGGAACGGTGGGAACAATGTCTTGAAAATGCCATAGTGCTCGCGGAACAGGCCCGTCTCGGCAATGCAGCCAGGGTACAAAGAAGCGAACGTGACGCCCGTCGACTCGTGGAAGCGTTGGTGCATCTGGCGAACCGTCATCATGCACGCAACCTTCGAGTCTTTGTATGCCTTGGCGCCGTTGAACTCCTGGCCATCCATCATGGGGTTCGCCGGCGACACGCCACCAGCCAGGCCCGACAGGTCGCCCAGGTTAGCCTGAAGGAAGACAGAGGCAGATCGCGTGCATAAAAGCGGATGGCAGGTGGATCAGTAACCACGAGGAGAAACAAAGCTTCAGCCGGTATTCCTATTGTGCATGAACCAGATCGCCAGAAACTCCCAGGCAAGGCGCCAGGTACGCAAGCATCGCAGCGCCTATTGTATTCGCCGTTTCCTTGGCCCTCCCTTGAATCCTCACCTTAGGCGGCACGTTGCCAGCCAGGGTATTGGTGTTGCCGGTGATGGAGCCAACAATGATGCACCGCGGCTGCTTGTTGGGTGCATTCTTCAGGTCCTCCAGCAGTAGGTTAGACAGAAGGAAGTGACCCAGATGGTTAGTGCCAACCGACAGCTCGAAACCGTCTGCTGTGAAGCGCGGCTCCTTGGCGGTGGGCAGGTACACCGCGGCGTTGCAAACAAGGGCATCCAGGCGGCGTCCGGTAGCCTTGAAATTGGCCACGAACTGGCGGACGGACTCCAGGGAGGACAGGTCCAGGTGCAGGACAGAGTACGAGCCAGCGGGCATGCCGATGGCCTTCGCAGCCTTCTCTGCCTTGAGGAAGTCGCGACAGGCCATGACCACGTGCCACTCGCCCGTAGCAGCAAGCGCCTTAGCGGCATTAAGGCCCAGGCCAGAGGAGGCGCCAGTGATGATGGCGGTCTGCTTTTGCTGGGTCGGTGGGACGCGAGCGACAGCATTTGGCTTAAACTGCTCCGTGAGGGAGGCTGACGGGGTGGGGGCGGAGGCGGTCGCGGCGGCGGCAGAGACCACCAATGAGCTGCGCGCGAGGGGCTTAGCGCAGAGCGGAGCACGGGCGGAGGGGGCCTGCGGGCGCGCGACCAGAGCAGAGCGGGGCCCCTTTCCAGACGCCTGAGCGCTGGCGTTGGCAATCTTGCTGGTGCTCATAACTGTCGACATCTGTAGGACGGAACTTGCACAGACGCAAAGGGCCAGTCAGTCCAGGACATTACATGCAGACCCCGTCAATGAAATTCATGGAGAAATGCAGATCCGGAGATTTTAATAACACAACAATATCTTGGCTGATCGACCCCCACCTTCCATAACAAGACAGGCATTATCCTCGGCAAGCAGGTGTGCTTTGGTTAGAAAATTCACCACAAAACGGTACCCAGCCATAGATCTAAATCACCATACTGTCTACTGGAACATACAGTAATGGAAGACGAATCCCAAAATGACTCGGGGCAACCCAAGCGGCCGCCATATCAGAGCTCCGCATCGGTGTCTGGATACCGCACGCAACAATCAAACGCACCTGATTACCGCTACATGGCAACCAGGAACGACTCTAGACATCCCCTTTGCCAATTCAACCTAATCACTGCAATAGGAATGGCAACCCACCTTTATGCGCTCAACGTAGACCGGAGGTGAAGATTCCAAACTTGAGCAGCAAAATCAGATACCAGACAGAAGCTTTGCAGAATTGCTACTGTAAGATACTGCTTTGCGGCATCGGCTTTTAGATCTATTTCCAACAGATCCCTGGGTACGGCGCTACGGGATTTTCCGTTTTCCGGTCATATCCGCAGCATTGATCCCATTAAGGTGAGGGCTACTGTTGCTACATGCGTTGTACTCCTTACTATAATAAATGTTAATGATGACAGGCTTTGCTATATTAGAAAGTCTTTGTTTCCTAGTTGCGGAAGTGTAGGTGTTGAAGTCAAGATTTCAATCAGATTAGAATGAAATAAAACTTACATCAATGCTTATGGCTTGATCCTCCGATACGTTTTGGTGAACGCAAGCCAAGCACGTGCCGATGGGTAGGCAACTACGGATAGCCATGATGCACTTACATTATCCAAAGGAAACCTAGTGTAGGTGCGTGTCAGTGTTATTGACCAAATGCTTGTAAGATTAAGGGTGATACCCTCCGAAACCAGTTGCTGGTCAATCCAACTGCCAGAGGGAAAAGGTTTAACGAGCGCTGTCCATGTGCACCGGCCTTTCATATCGTTCACCGACTTTATGGCTCAAACCTGCCCCGCTGACAAACCTGCGGCGATAAAAAAATGTTGTACCGTAGTCTCCTTGCGCTCTACCCGGGGGGCTACCCGGGAAACCGTAACAGGTGCAGATGAAGGCTCGCCTGGTTGGTCGTGCGTATGAATGGATGTCATGCATGCTAGCCTGGCGCGCTAGCCTTATGTATACAAAGTATTGGCACAAATGAAGACGCAAGATTGCAACTGGCGGATCGTTAAGGCAGGCATATCGTCAGGCGAAGCCATGCCCTGCTCAGGAGTACCCAAGGATGCAGCAAGTTATTGACTGAAGGATACGGCAGTGGGGGACGTCGAGGCTATCGGATCTCGGCCCCAGGACGCCCCAGTATCCGACGGTCCAACGTTGCATACCATGCGAAAAGAGTCGATCTGATCGGTAATGCTTCCATACGCAGGTGTGACGTATTGTGTCTCCTACTACCTTTTTCCACATGCCTTAATCAGTTGGCAGTTGTTTGGTTGTGTTCGCGACATGACATTTTGGACCTAGTTGAAAATGCGATCTAGGGTGCGATCAAGGGCGAGGAAAATTGCGTTCATACAAATAGTTGCCGACCTCTCGTACTCGGAGGTTAGGGACTTGGTTTGTTTCGGGCCAGGTCTGCGCAATTAGTCCTCTAGTCCGTAGGGTGCATGGACACAGGGCTTTAGCCCGTCACGAGGGTCGCACGTTTCCCACCTGGCCCCCCTCGCGGGGGAACCCAGACAACGGGATTAGCGCGTGTTGTGGATCCGTACACGTGTTTGTCTAAATTTTTTCCTGCCTATCGCGGAGGAGGACACCGGCAGTCATGAGGACGCTGAAGGTAGCCCAACGCGGTTATACCCGTTCACTTTTGGCACTTTCCGAGCACCTTGGGCGTCGGCGATCTTGGTGGACTGGGTCGGTCGCCAGCGTATGTTCGCTGACTCTTTTCATGTGGAAATTTGCAAATGAGTGGACAAGTATGATGGGAATCCATTACTCGTTAGCATTGCGTGGTAAGACCCACCTTGAGACCTAACGTATAACGGTTAGTAACTGCTACGTGTATTCCTTGCAGCCATTGGAATGCCAATCGCTCTCGAAACCCGGTGATCATCAGGACTCTGCCTTCAACAACATACCTCTCGTAGGATTAATCGGAGGGCCCGTGATATTCTCCCTAGAGACAAACCATGATTGATGATACTGTATAAGTCTGTGCCGCAAACCTGGTATTGGACTAATGTGACTTGATTGTTATCTCGTAAGTATGTTGAAGACGAGTCAACAAGCCGCGGTCGCTCTGAGTTGTGGTGCAGGACAGGATATGGCATTATGGTCATGGAATCTCTCTCCGAAACATGAGACAATCTTTACTAATAATCAGATATATGTTATAAGTACAATGTACAGGATGTCAAACACCGTGGAATTGTTACACGAAACCTGCATAAAACGTCGAGACCATAACTCGTAGGAAGGAAGTATGCGTGGGCGCTACAGACAAAGGGGTTATACCTTGGCCATATCTTCAGGATCGCTGGACTGTGTACATACTCGAGATGCACACGCCGCATGCCTGTTTGCCGAGCGAAAAAATGGAGCCTCAAGTTCCTGTGCGCGCCAAGGTCTTCCTCTGTGCCAGCTATGCATTGGCGGCATGGGCATGGCGCAGCTGGGAATTCATTGTCGCCCTCGTCCTTATTGAGTTGTACCCCGACTCCTTACTCATGGTTTCCGCTTACGGTCTCCTGGACAACATGGCACGTGTGCTGCTAGGGCCCGCAGTTGGGAGCTATGTCGATCGGTAAGTCGAAAGTTGTTCGATGGCAGTACCACACACCGCATGCTGCCGTACATCGCGTTCAAACGAGCCCCTCCGACGGTCCGTAAGAAGCTGTCATTACGGCGGCGGCCCCATCTGTGCTGCCAGGACGGGTCGTTTACCTGCAACCCGCGACCCGACGATCCGGCGCGCACTGACATGCCAACATGCGTCACGAGGGCCCGACTTGTCATAAACGCACACCGCGCGCCTCCACGCTCCATCCTGCCTAACGGTTTTGTACTTATGCACAACCGCCAGGCCGTCCGTGTTCCTCACCTTGCCTCTGCCCTGCTCCTGACGCGGGGTACTAAGGACCCCGTTACTCGGAGAACATCTGGCCGCACGCTGCGCCCGCGCTGCACACCCACTGCTCTTCCCTCATCCGCGCCAGACCGCTGGACGTACCTGACCAAAGCTGCCGATCCTTTCCAACCGTCTGTCCACCGTCCCTGTGCATGCGAGCAGTCACGAACGCATGCCTGGTGCCCAAGCTATGTTACGGCTCCAGAACCTCTGCATCGGCGGCAGCGCAGCGGCCGCGCTGGTGCTGCTGTGGCCCAGGTCCGCCGCCACGGAGCACAAGGTGCGTGAAGCCCAAAGGTCGTAACCGCGGCCACCGTTCCACTGGCCCCTGTGCTGTCTACCTAGTTCCATGCCAGGTGCGCATCCGAGCCCTACCTCCACCTTCATCCCTACGGCCGGCGGTACCTTTGTTCGGCAGTTGCTGGCCAACCAACCGCTCGTGTGCTCGTGCACTTGAGCAGCTCAGGTACTCGCCTTGTCGTGGGCGGCATCAACGCATGCCCATGCCGCGTGACGCAATCCTCTGTAGGCCGTCTACTGGTCGTTAATGTGGCTGCTGACCGTCCTGGGCTCTGCTAGCTCCGCGGGCAGCACAGGCGTGTCTATTTCAGTGGAGCGCGAGGCGGTCAAGACGTTATGCGGCGCAGACGGCCGGGCGTTGGCAGCACTCAACTCCGTCATGCGGGCCATCGACTTGACGGCGCTGCTCTGCGCCCCACTGGCGGCGGGCCTGCTCATGACGGCAGCTGGGCCGTTTACGGCGGTGGCAGCGATGGCGGCGTACTGCGGTGTGGCGTACGTACCGGAGGTGCTGCTGCTGGGGGCGGCGTTCCGCGCGGCGCCAGTGCTTGGGTGCGTACTGACTCCTGCGGGCTGTGACTGGATGCATGCCGGGGACTTCCTTACGTCCTGAGCCTCACCGAACATTGCTGAAAATTATCTGCGGGCAGCTGGAAACCATTGTGGGTGCTGCTATGCTTCCGATAGGAAAATGTTCAGGGGGGAATGGAGGTGGGTTTGGTAGGCCCGAACAAACGCGCAACGGCTTGTCTATAATGCATGTCATGTTTGCAATCGGGACGTCCCTTCTATGCCGCCGCACCGTTACCATTGATAACCTTGCGTATGCCTTGGACACACGGCACCTAATCACACACCTACGTGTGCCGCAGGCAGCCCAAGGTTCGGGCAGCCAGTGACAGTGCCGTGTCTGGCGGCCAGGCTGCCGGCTTGGGTGGCGCAGACGCGGATACGGAGGAGCGCACTGGCCTGCTGGCAGGATGCGCCGACTGTGCCGGGGAACAAGCCATCAGCAGACGAGACCCTCACACCAGTGGCGCGGGCGGCAAGGCGGGGCCCGCCGTGACAGTCGCCGCGACAGGAACGGACCCTGAGCACCTGCGGTCTTGCTTTGAGGATTCCACAGGAGGCTGCATCTCCAGCGGGGGAACTAGAGGGGAGCCCCAGGGCGGAGACCGGGGATCACGGCGTGCGGAGGGTTCAGATGATGACGATGACGGCGACTTCGGGGACCGAGCGGACTCGGCGCGTCTGAACCAGCCGCTGCTTCTGGATGCAGCCGAGTCGCTGCCGACCTCCGTGTCAGCGACCTGGGAGGGCGGCGACGACAGGCTCGTTACCGGTGATCGTTCCGCTGGCAGCCGGTCCCAGCACGCAATTAGCGTTAAGGTCGGCGGCGTCATGGTGGCGGCGGGAGGCGGCGGGGAATTATCGAACACCAGCTCCGTGACGGCGCTGGAGATGACATCCCCTACAGCCGCTACCTCGTGCGGCGGCGGCGGCCTGGCACGATTGCGTGTTCTGCTGCGCGCCGTGAGAAGTCAGTTCGGATTATATTGTGATAGCTGGCGCGTTTACTTGCAACAGAGCGTGCTGCTGCTGTGTGTGGCTCTGGCCCTGCTGTACATGACGGTCCTCAGTTTGGGTTTCCTCATGACATCGTTCCTTAAATGGAGCGGCTTGAGTGAGGCAGAGGTGTCGGGTTACCGAGGTATCGGTGCGCTGACAGGCTTGGCGGCCACCGCCATCTTCCCGCCACTGTCCGCCCGCGCCGGCCTCCTCTTCTGCGCCGTCGCCGGCGTGACGTACCAGCTGGTGGGTTGGATTCTGATTTTATTGGGTTGTGGCCTCTGTACAGAGCGGGTGATGGAGCGAGTAGGGAGTACTTGCAAATCTGGGCTACCCGGATAACCTCTATGACCTATGGTGTACGGCCGCCGCACTGTATGCATCCACGCACCCAGGGCTGAGATGCACCGACTAAGGCCTGGCCGAAAGCGCTAGCAGGACCTTGCCGGTCTTCCCTTCCCCGGTACGATCCTTGGTGTGGCTTTACCTGGCCCTGCTGCCGCCTTGAAACCGGTCGTGATCCCTTGAGGATCCATTGCATGCGTACATGCATCCGCCTGCAGGCATGTCTAGCGGCTGGCGTGTTGCCGGTGGTGACGCCGACCATGGCGGGCGGCGACGGCCAGAGGCCCTCCGTGCCGCAAGTGCGCATTCTCGTGGCGGGCCTTGTTTCCTCACGTACGGGCCTATGGCTGTACGACCTGGCCGTGACGCAGCTCATACAGGAGGAGGTCCGGCAAGACCAGCTCGGTAAGTGGGGCTGCCTCAGGTGTATGTGGGCCCCGCATGCTCAAGAATGTGCACCAGTGTGCTTTTCTGCCGCAGTAACTAAAAGCAATATCCGCAGTAACGAAAAACATCATTGATGTTTGCCTACTCGTTCGGCGATCACTACAAGAGCCCACACCCGGTGACCTTTCTCAGCCCGTTCGCCACGTCATCCGCTCGGTGCTTCTTCCCATACAGGATCCGTGTATGGCGTTCAGAGCAGCCTTCAGGCGTCATTCGAGATGATGTCTTTCGTAGCCGGCCTGGTCAGCCCCGATCCCGTGCACTTCCACTGGTTGATGCTGGGGTCACTCGGCAGCGTGACGGCAGCAGCGACACTAGTGTGGTGCCACGCATGCTTACGGAGGGCACGAGCTCCAAGAGGCACGTATGGCAGTGGGGCAGTGTGAGGAAATGTTAGCGGTGGCGACCGAGCGGGCAACGGCGTTAGAAGGAAATCTGGAGTTGCGTTTCAGGGTGACGTAGGAACTTTGTATGACGCGTGCATGGGAGGTCCGAAAAGGGGTGAAAAGGGCGTTGGAGTTTGGAACGCGATGTGTCCGTAGTCGACCATTCGGTCAGTAATGGCATGGGACCTGCACTTGCACAACCGTGAACGGCTCAGGCTCCGAAATTATGAATGATGATACGGCGGCCAAATGCTGTGCTGCAACCGGAACAGGTGCTGAGACTTCCCAGTGAAGCAAATTCCTGAGCAGTTTTTAAACGCAAGCCATGTTGAAGGAGGAAGGGCGGAAGGTGGAAAGGATGAGGCGAAGTCAGGATAAGCCCAGGCGGGCGCATGGCAGAGAACGGGGAAGGGAAAGCTACGGCAGGCGGCGTGTACAGGAGGGTGTATGCGTCATACGCGAACATGAAGGTAATGATGCCGTTAGGAAGTCGGAAGGGGCCAGGCAGGTACCACAGGAGACAGTTGAGATAATGATGGGGAATACGGAGGTAAGGTGAAAGACAAAACTGGGATAACGTGGGAAATTTGGTGAAAACAAATCCAGGAATATCAGGGCACGTGGTAAACAGGTAAGAAAGGGGATCTGGGTCGGAAAGCAACGTGCCAAGGAGAGATGCGGGCGGAAGGAAATGCTGAAACCTGCTACCAACGAAAGAACAGCACCGAGAGGGGGTGCTCCACTCCTAGAGTCATGGCGTGAGGTTTTACTGTGCTAGGCGTTGTTCACAGGGGTTGCACAGCGTGCTTTCCAGAAGTGATGAGCAGTTTAAGTGGTGAAAGTAAGGGTGCATGCGGATAGGGTTTTGACTGGGCGTTTGGTGAGATGTTTCAGAGCTTTTGGTAAAACCCGTTTTAGATATTGACAAGGTGCGGTCAACAGACGGTTGGCTGCGGCCAAATTGGCTGAACGACGCAAAAGGGAAAGATAAAGGGCAAGGTACGCAAAGGCTAGGCATTTGGGAGCAGTGAATAGGCTGCGCCAGGCAGTGGCTCTTTGAAGTCCTTTTACCTTCCACTTTTACGGACACCCTATCGAGACAGGGAACCTGTTTTTTTGCCTTCGTCGTCGGTTGTCCACACGAGGGCCCTATGCCCATGCAGGCGCAATATAGGCTGTCACCCTCGTAAACTCGTCTTGTTGCCTGCTTCTGCCCAAGATTGGCGGGTGCTTTCCGTTTGCTACAATGATGTCCTTCCGTGTTTCAACGCTGCTAATCTTAGCAGTTGCAACGGCCCGATGCCTGGCTCAGTATGAGTATGATTATGGTTACGGCTATGATTTCTATGACACCGAAGACGACTTCTACTATGACGAGTATGGCTATTATGGGGACGAAGACGAGTCCTATTATGAGTATTACGGCTACTACGCTGATGACTTCGCGGGCTACGAGGATTATTACGCTGAAGAGTATGACTTCTTCGAGGAATGTTTCTTTGACACGAACGGTCAGCCTGTGCTAGCCAACGGGACCGCCTCTTGTGACATCAAGATTGCCGGGGTTAACAAACAGGCTGACAAGCTAACTGGCGGGCTGGACGGCATTTATAAGCTGACCTCTTGCTATAATGGCAAGCCTATGTACAAGCGCCAGAGTAGCCCTCCCGGTGAGGACCGCGTTCTCTGGTACTCAAGCACCTTCGGCGACTGGGATGTTTCTAAGGGCTCTGAGCCCAACGAAGCGGAAATTCTCATGTATGGTGGTGAGATGGAGCATGCCTCAGTCCCTCTATTTGTTGGCAGCTGGCACCTGGGTGGCGATCTCAAGTCTGATACAGCCCTTGGCGAGGACGACTACCTGCCAATCAACGTGAATGTGTCTTGTGCTGATGGAACAGTGTATACTGCTGGACTGAACAGTTACAAACAAGTGGTTGGTCCGGTGTTGACAGACGCGGAGATTGAGGCCAAGTACAGCTACATCTATGAGAAGTATAGCAAGTCGGACCCCAGCCCAACGATCAACTTTACGTTCGTTGTCCTGCTTGTGATGAGCGGTCTCACGATTGTCCTGGCCATTCCATATTTCTTGCTACGGAAGAAGGGAGCAAAGGGGGGGTCCATCTCCGTCAGTTTTGCCCAGATGCTTACCCAGAGCAAAAAGAAGAGCTCTGGGCACATCAATTAGTTCGCGCATCGCGCTTATTCTTTGCGCATGTGACCCAAACTGTGCGCTTTTGTGCCGCTGCGCGTGAACGGACGAGTGTGTGTTTTGCACTGATTTAGACTTGACAGATCCCCCGGCTGACGCAGTTAGTCATTCCCAGGGCCCGTGGGAACAGTTCGCGGTGTATGGACGTTGTATATGTACGGCAACATCTGATTTCCAGGCTTCAACCCGTTCGGCGTGTGTGTGTGAAAGCGGCTACGGCTAGCACGCTCGGCAGGCGTGTGGGCGTCGCCGATTGAAAAGGCGGCATGCCGACTGTTTTAATTTAATGCGCCTCATATTCAGGCGGCGCGGAGCGCTGCCTAAAGCGCTGTGACAATATTCTTTGTTTGTGTCTGTTCAGAACGGCGAAGATGCTTTTGAGCTGATGGTACAAGGTCGGACAAGAAATGGTAACAGTTTTCATACTCCGATGTAATCTGTAGGACCGAAAAAATTCGGCTTCCCTTCCCCTTGTTTCACACTGCACATTCAGCGTCACCAGAGCCGGTCAGGACAGTCGGCATGTCCGACACGAGGCACGTAAAAGTCGCTGATGCGCAGAGGCGAGCCTGTCCGACCCCACTGGTGCAAACAATGAGGTGCGTCTGTGGGCAAGGACTTGAAACTGCCCAAACGCGCGAAAGACAGGTAGTCACCGGACATCACTACATGCGCCAATCTGTAGCGGCGAGGAGCGACGTAATGCAGGACCACAGGTGCCATTGTCATAGTCCTACTCCGCATGACGCCGATGCTGTTGGTTTTCTAATGCCGGTTCAAAACCCCTGGTTCAAAGAGGGTGCGAAAAGTCCACCATTTATTTGCCCAGTGTTCCTGGTCAGATTAGTGATCCATTGAGCCCATACTTCGCTTAACTACCAGGCTTGCCGGTGAAGGGGATGTGTGGCTGTAAACACCAGTTGGACTGACGGATTAACCAGCAGGATAGGTTGGCTGGAACTGGTGTCTAGAGGTGGCCAGGAAGAACACCGGACGGAAAAAAATGGCTTGACGTCAACACATATCTGGGTGAGGGTTATCTTAATGCTGAAATGCTCAATTTTGGAGTTTGCATGTATTCCGGTAAACGATGACCTGGTAACCCTCGGTGAAATGTCGGTATGGAACTAGCAAAGGAAGCCTGACATGGACACGAATTGGCCTGGCAGGGACATTCCGACAGTCAGAATTAGCCTGTCGGGGTGTCGAATTGGCCTGGCGGGGACATTCGGACAGTCAGGATTGGCCTGTTCGGGGCGTCGAATTAGGGAAGCACAGGAATTGTACGACCGGGGCAGTCCAAAGAATTGCTCTCTCCGACCTTGTGTCCTACCCTCTACAAAGGAGGCGGACATCGCGTTGCCATGATATCTGCGTGATTGGAGATCTTCGGGACCATGTGGATTTACGGCCGCTTCATTTCAGGGGCTTTCAGGAGAGTCAAGAATGACTAAGCGCGCATAGAGTATGGGTTTATAATTGGAAGAGCTTAGCTAGTCATCGCTGTAGGCTGAACGACGAATTAGCTTTGTACACGCTGGCTTCTCATTTGTGACAAGGCTGGTTCTTAGATGATGCACGTGTAAGTAGTGACTTTGTCGTAGATCTTGTCGTATTGCTGTTTGCTATTTGTTGTGGTCACAACCTGATAGCAGCAGTTATACGTGCTCTGATGCACTACGATTGCGGCATTTGTGCATGAAATGGATGCATCATAACGATGGCTTAATAAGGATCAACTGCTTTGCAACTGCAGACGCCAGTGGGCCTGCGTTGCCATATCCGGCAGGTGTAGGGGTATTCTATATATAGCGGTCACACATAAGATGCAATCCTGGTGTATGCTAAATTGCGTTTCGCCAAAACTGCGACAAGTGGCAGTAAAAGCTTGGCAGCGTAGTGCCCACAGGCGCCGGCCACCTGCCACTTGAACGTGTTTTTCATGTACGGCAATCAGTACGGCTTTTACTGGTGGCGTTATAGACGACAAACAACTTGTATCATAACTGTAGCTACATCGCCGCAAACGATTTACTATCTTATCATCGCCTGAAAAATCAAAATTGAGCATCTTTAGTCAGATATCTTGCACAACTATCGCAATTTGAATGAGGCACTAACATCGTTTGCGACCAATGACAGAGCTTGTCGTAGTCCAGGTGATGAAGATACAGCATAAGCGAGTCCAGGAAGCTGTCGGCGCAATTTGACTTGTTTTGTGTCGGCATTTATGGACTTCGACAAGTTAAACACCAGTCGAATTGGCGCCTGCAAAAGATCGCTGCCATTTGAGCATCATGTTACGCGGGAGCTAAAGCGGGTCAAGGATTGTGCTCAGGAGGAACAAGTTGCGGCGCCCGTAGTAACGGCACCTTTGTCCTCACGCCTGAAGCGGCCTCTGGAAGACTGTGAAATAGTTACAGAGAAAGAGATTTGTGCGGTAAGAATAAATTTAATTGACGATGTTTACGTTACGGTGGCTAAGACTTAATTCCATTTCCGGCGGGCTGAAGGCACGGTGGCCTTCTCGAATCGACGTGCTTAAATATACACGCTTCCGCATGTGCATGATTGCTTTACTGCATTTTGATGCAGTGTGCGGTGGCTATCGACACGGTGCTGCGCTTACTGGTGTAACCCCGGGGTCACAATAGCGACCCAAGCATTCTTGCACGGCACGCATCCTAGGTTCATCGGACGCGCCCACTTAGGTTGCTGCAGCCACCATGTGCCACTGCCCTGCATACTTGCAGGCTGGAGGCGCCGCCGTTAACTTCTCACCGGCGAACAGCGAGGGCGGCAGCCGCAGTGCATCTGCCCTTGGGGATCGGACTCGAGTCCTGCAATCGTCCGACCTTGAAAACAGCATTGCGATCTTATCCGGCGCCCTCCGGCAAGTACCACTCTTCGACGTGTTGCGTTGTGTTCGCGCGTTCACGGTGTGCAGAGACCCCAGGTGCACATGCACAGTGCATTCTGGCACGGTGTTCCCTGTACAGCCTTTTACTGTGTGGACACTTGCAAGGTCGTTTAAAGGTCGTCCTCGACAACCATTGCAAAGTTCCCTGGAAAACCTGGCGACCAAACAGGTGGTCCCCGGGTATAGGTCGGATGCCTAGTTTAATGTTCTCCAGCTCAGCGCATGTTTGAGCCGATGTGTCCCCCTGATGTTATTAAATCCGGGGTCCTGCTGCGATCCGCACTGGCATGGAGCGCAGATGGCGCAGCCCCGTGAAACCGTACAAGATGCCCCGCCTTCATGGACCGCGCCTGCCCACTGCCGTGCGCGGTATCGTTGACGTGGGAATTGAAACTGGTAACCACGACGACCAGCCGGGGCGTCACTCGCAGCACCCGAACCATCAGAACCAAAATGCGTCAACGGATGCGACTGGCTGCACGGCGGAACTGGCGCAGTGCCACCAACAGCAAGCACAACAGCAGGTTGGATCGGTTCCAAGTGGGCGATGACTTGCTGCAGATACCTGCAGGTAGCAGTGGAGCTGGCTAGAGACGTTCCTTCCGGGATAGGGGAACAAGTTTTGTTCTCAAACTTCCTCAAACTGACATCCCTTGGGCCATTCCCTTTTCCTGTCCGTTTTGTGCCACATGCTCTCCGCATGATGATGCAGCCCGGGGTGGCCAGTGTCAATCCCGTAGGGCAGCATCCCCAGGGGCCATCGGGCGGACATACGCAGCCTACCGGAGCCGTACCTGTGGCTCAGCAGCAACAGCAGCAGCAGCATGAGTGGGGCCGGCTGTTCAGCGCCCTGAGCCTCGGGGGCCCGGCTCACAGCTGTCTCCGGTCCGACCCCGTGTGGGCAGCTGCCACCAGCAACAGGGAGGGCCGCGGTGGCGTAAGCAGTTCGGCTACCTCCCGGGGCTACATTAGTGGCGGGCAAGGTGGGTTGGGCGAAGGAGGAGGATTACACGACTTTCAACCGGATACTGGTGGCTCACATTCCTGAGCCGCACGGACACCCTCAACGCTTCTGGCTAGTTGGACGTTCTGGTCTGAGCATGACGTTATAGGGCAAAACAAGGGCTGCGACATTGAGAGGGAGGCGAAAGATTCAGTTGAGCCTTGTGCTCCAAGGCTCCAGGCCACTGGCACCTCCTGAGAAGGGCGGGTCAATATCGAATGGCTGATGTAAAGCGCGATATAGGGTCAGCCTTGTGAGGGCGCTTCCCCAGGGCTGCTACTTGGCAGCTGAGACCCAAATCGTTAATGGACCCAGCTAGGCACCAAGGGGCACACACGGGGCGATACATGGAACACGGCACTGGCCGGCTCCCTTAATGTGGAGGAACAAGTGGTGGTGGCGCTGGTCCCTCCTCGAGGATGCACCACCTGCTTGTGTCGTGTTGGATGTGTCGGTGCTGCAATGGCCCAGGTTCGTCGCGCCCATCCCGTCACACCGTGGTATTCGACGGCTTGAAAGACTTCCCTGCCGACTCCGGCTATTCTCGCCTCGTGCGCGCGCTACTGTCCTATACCGCGCAGGCGTGGAACAGCCCAAGGCGCGTTGCGCCCCAGTTGGCAGCAACAACTGCCGCGGCAGCAGCGGCAGCTCCCAGGCCACGCCTGTCATATGCGACGGAAGCAACACCTGCATGGCTCCCTACCCAAACCAGCCTATTGGGAGTGTTATGGTAGGAACAAGCCCATGCGGCGATGCTCAAGGGCCTTTGCCGGGGCCGGCATTGATGGGCGCTGACTTGACGAGCCTTGCCATTGGGCCGCCGCCGTTGACTGCATCACCTTCTGGAAGTGCTGTGTCCGGGACTCCGTATTCCGTCGTTCCTATCAGCCCGTGGCATCAGTCGGAGCCCGGTATGGGCAGCGAAGCCGTGGTGGGAATGAGCCTAGTCAAGGCTGTAGCTGAACCAGGCCCTGTCATGCCGGGCCTGGCATCTGGGTCACAGCTTGAACGCTATACGGGTCGTGCGGTATCTGGATCCGTTGCAGCCCGATGTGGTGGCTTCTTGGCCCAAGAGGCCTGTAGGTTGATGGCGAGCTCCGGTGCAAGCCACACCTGACCCCGCAACAAGTGCCACTTAACCCTGATGCCAAATGATGATGTTTTAATGGAACGTAGGGGCGGCAGCGGCTATGTGTCTGAGGGGATATTTGCGTGGGTGTATGACGGCCACTTACGGAGTCGGGGCAGGGCACGCGAAGTGCAAGTTGATGCGAGCGAAGTGCATTATGACGCGGGGGTGTATCGTGCAGTATGCATCGGTCGTGAAACCCCGCCCTACCACTGCGCCTGACTGACCGAAACAATTTATCATGTATGTACCATTCATCTCAAGTGTGTCCCTCTCGGAGCATAATGATACTCAGGAGCACGAGCCCCTTGACTGACCGGCTGTCGCACCGTTGCTGCGCTATATCTTGTGGCGATGTTGTTGCTATTTCAAGAACCCTACGTGTGAAGACAACTGCCATGGCTTAACTTGAATCCACATGTACCGTTTGGAGTCCTCAGTCCATGGAGGCTATATGGCGAGTTACTCGGCTCCGCGTCTGTGTTTACACCCATAGCTACTCGGTTGCGGATTTACACATCCCTGTAGTTTTGCCTGTTTTGCGCGTCAACACTGCTAGGCGGTGCCTTGTACCCATGGACCTCTGCAATAAACCCCCTGGTTCCTCACACACAACGTCTTTGGTAAAGGGTTGTAATGCGAGCCAGTCTTTAGCCCGCCGGGTTAACATGCATCATGCATGGTAAGGGAGTTCCCCGACCAGCGCCTCCCAGGTCTTCTTGGGTCAAATAATTTATCGAGGCCGCCTTTGCATGCGTCGAGTTCGTGAAGTCTAATTAATGCACGAACGTTTTGCGAGCCAACCCCAACTGCATGTTACCACAACGTACTTGGCGTATATTTTGGCTGACCCCCGGGTCACGTGGGCAGTACTAAAGTCGCTGGGCAGCCCTGGGCAGCGGACGACGGCCCTTGTCCTCTCCTTCGGACTGCTCGTCTTGTCTTCCGTTGCACTTAGCGCAAGGAATCCTTAATGTTAATATGTAATACCTCCTTTCATTATCACGCCCCGCGTCTGATTGCGGTTCTTGAGCTTCGACACCTCAATTGATAGTATGGACCAATGTACCTGTAAGCTCATGGGCTTGAAGCTCAGGTTTCTACCTTCCATAAGTGTCTTAGGGCTCAGAGCCCTAAGCGGCCATACTAAAAGCATCGAGGCCCCCTCCTGTGTTACGAAACCAGCGACACGCGGTTGCAGCCACCTCTTTTAGGCCGCTGAATCTCTTACCCACAAGGAAGGACACAAACGCTTTGATGCCTTACCTCTCCGGCCTGCAATTTATCACAAACGAAGACCCCATGACAAAGAGAGCTAAGAGCGCTCCCTTACCCGTGACTCACCCCTTCAGTTCCGCGCGCTCTGTTTCGTCCCCTTCCTGGAGCACCGAGTCCCCTCGTCCGCCGCACGCGGCCGCCTCGGCCTAGCGGCGCAGCTGCACCCGCTCCAGAGGCCCTGATGGAAGGGGCCCTATGCGGCGCCAGCAGTCATTCCGCGGTGTTCACTGCTTCAGAACTTAGGCTTGCGTCCGGGTCCGCCGTTGGTGGGGTTGCCAGGATTGGTCATTACAATGAAATGGACTCCGAACCGTTTGCCGCGGCAAAACTGAGTAGGGCTGGCAAGCTGGTCTCCGCAAGCAGCACAGTAGGGCCGCCAAGCCGTCCGTCGTGCGATTTCCAGCAGGGTCCTGGAACCCGGCTCCCCACGTCCCTGGGGCAACAAGTGGAGCAGCAGCAACAACTGTATCAGCAGCAATACCGTGAGCAGCAGCAAAAGCAACAATACCAACATCATCAGCAACAGCAAAGTCGGCAGCAGCAGGAGCTACAGCCATACCAAAGCCGGCAACTGTACCTGCGCAGTGGGGAGCCGAGCGGCGCGCCGGCAAGCTTCCAGGCGCATGGGCCGCTTGTCGGGCCGCACCCGGGGCCCGGGCAAGCGGGAGGCGGAATGGGGCCGCCTGGGGCTCATCCACACGGGCAGCGCAGCGACCTTCCCGGGAGCAGTTGGTCGCACCAGGCGGGCGCGGAGGCGTGGAGTGGAGCAGCACAGGCGCCGCGTGCGCAGGAGGGCCCACACAAGGAGCGTGGCGTCAGCCGGTCCGCGCCTGCTGGTGGTGCTGCAGCGGCGGCGCCATCAAATGGCTGCTGGCAAGTGGGTCAACAGGAACCTCAACAGGAGCTGCAGCTTCGACAGGGGCAGCCCCTAAACCTCCTGCAGCAGTCTTATGTTCAGCAGAATCCACAGCAGCAGCAGCAGCAACAACAACAACCAATTCAGCTGCAACAGCAAGCGCTGCTATCCTATGAACGGCCGGAGGCCATGCAGAGGGTAGGGAGCGGGACATCGCAGCACTTGCAGCAGCCATCATGGCAACAACAGCAAAGGTCAACCAGCCCAGCAAGGGGTGGAGTACGAGGCCGTGGTAATGGTGGCGGAAGCCACGGCCGGGGCAGCGGCGCCGCCGGCGGTAGCGCCCCCACACCGTCAGGCGGCTGTGCTGCCCGGGGCTGGGGCCGGGGCCGCGGTGGCGCTCTGAGCCCGCCCTCCGCTGGCCCCTCCCAGCCCCCCCCTGCTCCTACTGTGGCCCCCGCTATGGCCCGCGACGCCTGCTGCCCCATCTGCAGTGCGCCCTTCCATGCCCGCATGAGCAACGCCGAAGTGAATGACCACGTGGACGCGTGTGTGAGGGTGCTGTCGAGCGACATGTGATGAGCGGTTGTGAAGGGGTTGTGAAAGGCAATCCGTGCCGATGGCGGACTGGAATTTTGTGACGCGAGAGATGTGCGAGAGAGTACAACGCCTGTTGGACCTGTTGGACCACTCCCATGGGCATGTGGTCGTTTTGGACGAGCATTGCGAAGTTTGCGACCGGCTGGCTGATAGAGGTCTACGTGCCCAATGGCAATGATAAAATGGCGCACATCAGGTCGCACCAGGCCAGCTCCGCTGTGGTACTTCCTCGCGGGGCTCCTGACCGCGAACCCGCTACGGCCCTCCCTTCCCGGTGTGTAGGCAGGTGTTGGCTTCTGAGATGGATACGGTTATGGCAGGGCGGGGTAGCTGTTGAGGTGGTAGGAGCCACTGATCCTGGAGGCCCTACACGTACACAGCTGAACTAAAAGCAGGATATGTGTGTTTTCTGCACCTCGTGGAGTTGTGTTACTCTCCAAAGGTGAAACCTAGGGGGCCATACGAGCCATGAGGGGCCCAAGGGCCTGCAGACTACGGCTGTCCGCAATGCATGTGGACTACTGGTCCGAAAGGTCACCAATTTTGTACTTTGTTGGTCCATCAGTGCGCCTCAACGTAAAATTTAACGATTCCCTATTTAAAACAGTTACGGATGTTCTGACCTGGATGCCTACCTTGTATGCATAGTTCCCCAACAGCAGGGGCCGCCGACTGTTACAGCGCAGTAAGGGACTGTGCGTTGGCAGGCGGAAATAGTTTGAACCAGCTTAATACGTTACAAACAGGATGCCTTGCAACCTTTGTGGTGACTCTGCGACACAAGTTTAAACGACGCAAAGCGTCCACAACGCAATGGCACACCCTCCATCACATCCTTGAATTCGCCAAACCTTGACGTACCTCATGCCAAAGAAGGGTCAATACACCCCCGGGGAGATGGCGATGTATTCAGACAAAGAATACTATATAGAACGGGCCGGGTGCTGCACAAGCGACATCATCCTATAAATTGCTAATGATGCCGAGTACGGCACATCGTACATACCCTGCCACAAAATCAAAGTACATAACACATTATGTCGACAGCAACAAGACAAATTACTCGCAAGTGGTGACACCTACTTAACGCAGCGCAAGCAACGCTTTGTTTATAGGAATATATCAAACGAACAGCCCCCTCCCTCCGCCATAACGGCCGAGCATTAGCCAGCAAGGGAACGCGCACCGTCACAATAAGTCGCCAATATGGCTGCGAGCGCATGTTGAGGCCGTCATATCACCATCATGAACACCATCAATAACAGCACGATGTAATGAGGCAACAGAAATGAAGGAATACTGTGTTGCGCAGCGAGCAAGGGACGAATCACGCCACACGATCTTGATGTTACGCCCTCCCATGGTTTGCGGTTCTTAATAGGACGAATGTTTATCCTGTCTTACCGCGATGCTTTCGAAGCTTCCAAGCCCTGATGACACAAGCCAATTACCTCAGTGACAGGCCGGACCGGAAACCGCACACCCCCAAAGCCAGCACTCAGTATTGTGCGTCAAGGCCACCCGCCCGCCCTAACAAGGGAACTGCCTCCCGCACTTGACATGCAAATCCCTCATCCCCGCGAACCCGCGATGCCGCACATTAACCCAGACAAGAGTTCCAAGAGCTGACACGCTTTACTCTGAGCGGCCATTTGGAGCGCTTTAGACAAATTTAGACCTTGCGCCAGTCAAAGGCAATGGGCGCCTGCAGCAGGTGGTCAGGGATGCCGAAAGCATCGCACAGCGCCACCGCCGCGCAGCGGGACCCACCCGCCGTCAGCTGGGCGTAGATATCCATGGTGGCGTTGCGGAGCGCCACCACATCGGCCCGGTTGAGGGCGCCCACGGTCAGGTAGAAGTCCAGAGAGCGCTGTATGCGGCTGAGGGCGTACAGCTGAGCCAGGAGGTCCAGCGCGGTGCGCAGCGACTCCGGGGCGCGGTTCACCTCCTGCAGCAGCAGTGGTAGCGGTCATAGTCGTGAGCGACCAAGTGGTAGGTGTGCTGGTGGCGATGGGGAGATCACGTCGGGACAGGCACAAGATGAGACCTGAGCTCCTGTCTAAGAGGAGCACAGTATCTAAATGGAGAGCTCAAGAAGCATTTTGAGGATCCTTTCGAGTCATGTCTCGGGACGAAGAAAAAACATACACCGATAACATCAAAACGATGCGGACGCCCTCGTCCAGGAGGCGAAAACAATTTGATTGCAATATCCCTCTGCACCTGCAGGAAGTTCGCGTGGCAGAAGCGCTCCACCCAGGCCCAGCCAATGGACACCACAACGTCAAGCTGCCGGTCAAATGCCGCAGCAGAGGCGGCAGCCTTGGCGGCGGGGCCGTCCGCGCGAGTAGCGGCCGCAGCCATCTCTCCCGCCACCTGCGCCAGGAGGGCGCCCTCCCGGTAGGCCAACAGCGACTGCAGCGTCTTCGAGCACGAGGTGCCGCCGGCCGCCAGGGCACCGGCCGATGGTACGGCAGGCGCCCCCCTGGAGAGCGCCGCCTTGTCCTCCAGCAGTGCTCGCGTCACCTGCTGCATCATGACCGTGTTGTCCCCCTCGAATGTCACGTCCACGTTCATGTCGGTCATCATGGGCCCGATCTTGTTCGACGACAAGAAGCCCATGCCGCCACAGCACTCGCGGCAATCCTGGATAGCGTCACACAGGCGGGACGTAATAAACGAGGTGAGATGTGGGGGAGAGGCAGGAAACTAGCAGCGGGAGGGAGCGAGAGGAAAGAGGGAGGGAGCGAGACAAGAAGGACAATGAGCAACCGGGAACGGCAGACGGGGTGAGAGCAACCTCCGAATCCAAAAGGTCTCAGCTAGCGTCATGGTAATCTTTCCTTTCCCCGATACGGAACGTTCAACATCACGGCCGTCTCTTCCTCCTCCTCTCAGCGGCCTCCCTATCGTCTTCCCCCAACCCCCCCCATACCCCCTCCCCCCCACCTGCATGGCCTCTACTCGGCCCCAGGTGGCGGCCGCCTTCAGCCCCGAGGACAGCACGTGAATGGCCTTGGCGTCCGCGGGCCGCCGGGCGGCAGTGAGGGTCTTCAGGTGGCCCAGAGCCAGGTGCAGGGCGTACGTCTGGGCCAGGGGGGGGAGCAGCCGGGCCTGCAAGGGAGGAAAGTGGGTGGAGGGGAGGGGAGGGGAGGGTGGATAGGAGTTGGGAAGTAGCGACATGCAGTGTTGGGATAGGGACAGTGGACGGACAGTCGGCACGCGCACAGAGGTACCCATGGGAAGGACACAATCCACTGGGCGGGGGCCTGTGTTGGGTTGATTGCCCAATAGACCGCTGCACCTGCTGCCACAATGCCGCCTATGCATATCAGTCCCCTCCTCGCCCTCCCTCTCCCCGCTCCTCCCCCAGGCACCTGGTGGGTCACGTAGTCCATGATGGGTCGGTCACCGAACTGGGTGCGGCTGCAGCTGTAGCGGATGGCGACGGTGAGCGCCAGCTTGACTCCGTCCACACCGCCAGTGGCGATCAGCACGCGACCTGAACACAGCAACACAGCAACGGCACACAGGTAATGTAATGTAATGTTACAGAGTGGGAGGGGCTTCTGGGCCGCTTTATCACACAGGTGGTACGACGCAAACGGATCAGCCACCATGTATCCTAATGATAAACCCTCGAGTACACCAGTATCACCATTTCACGCCAGTAAACCATATCCCGCACCTCACCCAGACACCTCCCCTATTCATCCATTCACCCACCCACCCACCGGTAGTTAGGCCGCCCACCACCGTTCCAAAGCGCTGAGACACGCTGGGAATGGAGGAGGAGTACGTCCCGTCGGGGGAGACCGAGGCGAACGCGTCCAACATATCCTGCGTGTGTTTGGAGAGTGCGAAATCACACTAGGTAAGCAGAGGCGTATGTGGGTGGGATGGGGCCATGTGAACCCGGCAGGGAGGATCCCTCTCCATAGCTCATCATCATCATCATCATCATCGTCTTCCACACCAACAACACATTTCATCCCCTCCCGCAGCTGGTGGGTCACGATATCCCCAAGTCCCCCTCCCGGCGCCCCCTTCGACATACATACATACATACGTGATATGCCCCTGTCCGGCACTTTCCGACCGCCTTCCCGCCACCGTCTCACACCACCACTCACCTCACGCGGCACCCGCACATTGTCAAACCAGATGCGGCCGTTGTCCACCCCGTTGAGGCCCATCTTGGGGCCCTGGTCGGCGATACGCACCCCGGGCATCAGCCGGCCCTGGTCGTCCCGGATACGAACAACAAACACATGGGGGCCCTGCGGGGGAGAGAGGGGGGGAAGGGGGAGGGGAGGGGAGGAAAAACGCCAGTGGTCCAGACGTCAGCGGAGCTAACATGGGCAGGTGGGTGAGCGGCAAGCGTGGCAAAAACTGAAATGTACGACAAGAGGGCTGCATTGGCGAAGACCCTTTGCCCACCCCTACCTGCCACTGGCCATTCACGGTCAACTGGGCAAACACGGCACAAATCTTCCCGTGCTGTCCCGATCCGCCAATCCAGTACTTGCTAGCCTCGTCATTGGGCGTGTTGATTATGAATTGGCCCGAAGCCTTGTCGTACACGGCCGTGGTCTCAATGCCCATGACGTTGGACCCGTGGCCGAGCTCCGTCATTCCGAAGCAGCCCGGCAGTGTCAGGTCGTCCATGCCGGGCAAGTACCTACAGAGCCGGGGCAGTGCAACACACGATAATGGTGATGATGATGGGGCTCATGGGGCCGCAAGTGTTCCCCTAATGTGGGGCCGTCCCTCTACATGATCGGATTGCTGGAACGTTAATTCATTGCCTTCCAAGTCTTGTCATCTCGGCAAACGCAACAAACGCAAGAGGTCTCGGAAATTGGAGACCAAGTCACTACGGACAAAAAAAGCAGCACTGCTGGAATCAATGCGGTCTGATGCACGATGACCCGATGACCCGATTCCTGTCCCAGGCACCGACCCGGCGTGAAAAGCACTGCCCGTCACTGCACAACCCTGGCTAGCACCCGGCGGCCCTTGCGGCATACCCACTTGTTGTGGTGGTAGGCAGTGCCCAACTTCGCAATGGTTCCCCCGCACAGGGTGAAGTGCACCCCGGCCTTGATGGCCAGAGAGTAGTCCGCATACATAAGGGACTCCAGCGCGGCCATGAAGCGGCGGGGCTCTGCCGTGCGGGAAGAGAAAGGGGGGGTGTCGCAAGCGGGTTATGGCGTATTGGTACTGTGATGCCATGGGCGGCCGCCGTGGGCATGTGTGGGGATGTGGCAACAGGGAGCGGAGGAAAGGCGATGCTGTTGGCCGAAGTGTCAAATTTGCAACTTTAAGAAGACACACGTCATGATCCCATGGCCTACAACGGCAAACACGCGTCATCATGTATTTTAAACATGGTTATGATTGCCGCAGGCGCTGGTAAAGCAATGGCTGGAAGGGGCAGGGACAGCAGCCTGGCCTACCGTTGGTGTAGTCGCGGACGGAGAAGAATTTCTGCGCCACAAACTTCTTCAGACGCTGAAGTGTCTGCTCCCTGAACTCCATAAGCCCTTGGTAGTGGTTGGGTCTGTACAAGTCGTCCTGTTTAGGAGGCGGCAGCGACCAAGACATCAAGTCCATGTCTACGTCAGCGAGAGACAACGGTCAAACCGCGACACCAGCTTTAAAAAACACTATGATAATTATTATATGCTATGCTTGTGCTAAGGGCTTCTATAAGCACTGTGACTTGTTTACATCCACCTGGTGCATGCATGGTGAAGGACCATCGCGGCCGAAGCAAGTCAGAGAGCAAAACGACTCACCTTCAGGAATTCATATATGGCCTCCCGCAACTCTTTATTGTCATGGACAAGGAAATCCTTCATCTCCTTCGGGCACACTGCAAGTCGAGTAGTTGCATTGCCTGCTGTCACTTGCCGTGCGAGCACCTGAAGACGCTCGGTGGCCTTCTCCGTGGAAGTCATGTTTCACTCAACGAAGTTCTTTCACAAGCTGATTGCAACTTGACTACACCCAAATCAGTCTCCGTTATGTGACTACTCGTATCGCCAACTTATTGATACACTTCTTCCGGCAAGGGCTCTTTATATCCTATACGGTGTGGGGTACAGGCATACAGACTACAGCAAGGCATGCGGTTTTCCACGCAAGCAATTGTTGTACCTCGCTGCCGTACGGTGCAGTTTGCCGGTGCCTGCACGCTGTTGAGCGGATGCTGCGAAAGCACGGTTTTTGATCCACACCACTGATAAGTACATCTTGTACACCGTCTTATTATCCGCATTTAACACTTTCAGCCGCATCGCCTACTACGATGGCACTTGCGCTCCGTCGGTCATCCCAGGTGCGAGCACAGCGGACTGAAAGTGTGACCATTCGATTATGCCCAAAACTATTAGGACATTGTTGCGGCAGTTTGAAATCTTTTACTTGGCTGGCATATCCTGGCATAGGAGTATCAAAAGCAGTATGCCTCATTTTCAACACGATGCAGGCATCATGCAGCACGTCAGCGTCGGCTACATCGCGTGGGGTTTGGGCAGGTGCGATATTGCTTCCCGGCAGGCACTGACTCCAACCACGAGGCTTTGGCCTTTCTGTAAAATTACATCAACAAGCTCTTGCTTTGTCTCGTACAGTTGGTAATAAGCGCATGACAATCTTTTGCCAAGCGGCAAAACAGGTGAGAAGGACGTAATCACACGAGAGATTATTTAGAGGCTGCCTTTACCTCAGCAGCACCCTGGCTTGACGTTGCATCGCTATGCCAGATCTGTTGCCCAGCCTCGCGAGTTTTCGGATCTTCTACTTGCCCTTTCAGGAAGGGCAGCTTTTGTGGCTGTAGTCGCATTCCCGTTGTGTATCCACAACTCAGCATTTAAAGACTTCCTTGTCATTTAGGTACCGCCTGTCCCCCATTCCTTGCAGCATGAGCAAGTCTTAAGTACACCTATCATTGGCCCTCCTGGGCTTTCTTGATAACCACCCAGGAGTCACCCAGCAGCCATCCTGTTCCTCGACACTTGGCGGCGGGGCTGCTGGCCGTCTCCTCTGCCGCAGCACTGGCGCTCACCGCCCTGCCTTTCAATGCCTTGGCGGTGTCGGGCGGCGGAGGAGTGTCCGAGTCCCTTGCGGGTAGGTGGGATGGCAAGGGTGGGAAGATGGTAAATGGAGTTCTGGAGGGCTACATTATATTAAGCACGAGCCCATGACCACGGGGGTCCTTGTGGCGGTGGTACCGCAACCAAACGTCTGCATCAAGAAATGTGGGATAGTGGGCGGTGTTAAGGGACTAAAGCATGGGTTTTTCCAGCCGCGCGCCTTCCTCGGAAACGCTGGTGCCCTATGCACGCATGCCGACGGCGGACAATGAACCCGTGTGCGTATTTTTATACTGGGGCTGGTGCTGATGCTCCCCCCTTGTCTGTGGTTCGTCTTCCCCTCCTGCCTGACTCGGGTAGGCAAGGACCTTACGGGCAAGGACTTGCGCAAGCTGAAGCTCACTAAGGCAAACCTGCGACAGGTGGGTTAAGGCTGACCGGTTGAGCCGCTGCCCGTCTGGTCCACTGTGATAGCGCTGCGGCAGTAATTGCGGTGATAATGGTGGAGTCCAGCGATACGAATGCGGGACTGGATGTATCAGTATGTATTTCCTCTGGATTCTGTCCCCTTGTGAGGCCGACTGTCCAGTTCAATATGTGCAAAGCAGGTCACGATGGCGATACATTATATATAAGGGGGACTTCAGCTGGTCTATGCCCTATTCCCAGCGTTATGCCGCTCCCTCCCACCCCTTCGCTCGTCACCCTGGTGACAGACCAACTTCACTGACGCCAACCTGGAGGGCGTTTCTCTGTTTGGCAGCCTCAGTGGTGGGTGGCGGTCAGGGCAAATGTGGCGGGTGATGGGACTGCTGGATGAGGAGACCAGGGCAATGTGGCAAGTGGCTCACGTAGTCGGGCCATGGGAATATCGCCACTACAGCAGCCACTTGCCTAGTCCTTACCGTGCGGATGCTGTACACAGCAGGGGCCCCTAAGGGTAAAATGGTTGATGGGGGAGCAGGAAAGTGTCTATAAGAACTAACGACCCGGGGATTAGTGGGGGCTGTGAGAGGTCATCATTCCACCTTTGCTTTGAGTGGTTTTGCTCTCGCCGCACTGCACCCCCTCTCCCAACCGCTGCGACGCGGCACCCGCCCAGCTACCCACCTGCCTGTTGTGGCGCCCGTTTGTTCAGAGAGCGCCATCTTCCGGGGTGCCAACCTGCGCAATGCCGACCTGGAGAGCGGCAACTACGAGTTTGCGGACTTCACGAATGCGGTGCTGGAGGGAGCCTTTGTCAACAATGCCCAGTTCGTTAAAGTAAGGGGCTGTGTGAAGGGGGAGCTGGGGCGAGGAAAGAGCGGCGGCTGAGGCGGCTAGGACGCAGAGCAAGGCGCACGTTGTGCTTCTGTTTAGTCGGCTTGTTGGCTGGTCGTGCAGCTGCATTGGACGGGTGAGAGCCCCGCGGGGCCCCGCATGGTCGGCCCTGTGCTGCGGCCTTAAAGCCACTGCTCAAGGAAGTGTCGACGTGGCGGTTTTGTGTTCACACGCAGCGTAGGTCTTGCCATAGCGCCCGCTGCGCTCTGTTGCGCACATGGAGGTATCCCGAGGAGGGTTGCGCGGAAGGTGAAACGGAGATTCTAATAAAAATATTTCTGGTCGGTTTCATCTGGGGCACAATGTCCGATGAGGCGAGCACGGCTGGTCCCAGGCCTACCTGTGCGAACCCGCGCTCGCTTGGCGGCCTTCCCCGCTAACGTTTTCTTCGCCAGAATGCCCTTCTTCCCGCATCATCTCCCTATTTCCTTTGCATTTTTCCCCTCGACCCAGGTGACCATCACGGGCTCCGACTGGACGGATGTGGTGCTACGCAAGGATGTTCAGAAGGAGCTGTGCGCCATTGCGGATGGAGTCAACCCCACCACCGGCGTTAGCACCCGAGAGAGCTTGCTGTGCCCTTAGGTTGGGGAAAGGGTGCATATACGAGGGGCAGGAAGTGGTAGGGTGACAGATTGAGTGATCAGGTTTTGGCCGCGGAGGCGGTTTAGTGGGAGGTGTGCAGCGAGGTTTCCGGTTTAGTGGGAGGTGTGCAGCGAGGTTTGCGTGGAGGAGTGAATTTTGGAGTCGTGCATCAAAGATAGACGAAGAATTGGTATATGTTTGGAGGTGGCTGCGGTGCGGTTTTTGGGCATATTTTATTTTTGTCTGCCGTGATATCTCAAATTCTCATTTATCATTTGATGTTTGTTGGTGGGTGTCGCCAGGTTATCAGCGACCTGGCACTGGCGCACTTGTAAGGGCGGCCTTGTTTACGGCACACGCACACAAACATAAGAGGATCCTTTGAAGAAAATGCCTGCCAGAGTTAGTTTACTTGCACGAACGGGGTTGACCCGCTGGCAGTTGTATTGCTCTGGCTAATGACAGAAAGGTTTAGAGCACGACACTTGTATGTTCGGTCCCCACACGCACAACAGAATTACAGGTAAGATATAACGCTGAGGCCCTGCGCCCCGTCACGTCACCACAAGGGCAAATGTACCGTCACAAAATAGCTAAATTACCGCCTTCTGCTCCCGAGCAAAGAGGAACAGACATTCCTTTTTCTTCAAGGCAGATCCTTACTGATCACAACTAGGGCCCTTTAGCATCTGGGAGCAAACACCACGCTCAAAGCCTAAGTAGGCTGGCGGCATGGCTTTGTGTTCTTACCACACCCTAAGCTCTAAACGCAGAGGACCCACTTCCACATCCATGCAATGGTGCGTGCCATCCATGTCATGTCATGAATCAAACGCTATTCGCTGCGTTGTCCAACATCAGCCCTAAAAGTCACCGCAGTGAAAAAAACCATGCCACCGAATCAGCAGCCAACTCCGTCATCCTGCAGCCTCCCCAAACATATTTTCAGCGGCGATCCCGTATATCAGTGCACGAAACCGGTAATCGACAAGCCATGAGCAAGATTAAACGGACACTTGTCGCGGTAAGCTCCGGACAAGGCAAATAAAACCAGTCAACCCTCAAGCCGCATCATTCACAATGCCAACAAAAATGGAACATGCAGTCATTAGAATTTACTACCAGCACTTTGTTACTGTAGTTCGACCAAGGAAGCCAAGGAAGGACCCGGCGGATAGGCGGGGGACTGGACCGCCGGCAGAAATCCAGAGCCTTCTAGCCGCGAACCGACGTAGTCTGGCGGCTGCAGGTCCAACCAGAGAATACTGGAAAACAGAGGCCGTTGCACCACACGGCAATGCACCGCATGAAGCAAGCGTAAAAAACATCGCAACCGACCTCGCTGCTAACGTGCCACAACACATTGCATCACAATATGTAACTGACACCAGACAACAGAAAGTAACCACCAGTGCAGCCTGCAGCTCGTTTCGTCGTAACATACATTATTTCGCCGACAGCTCAGCCCCTGCAACACAACGGGATCACACGCCCTGCCAGCGTAATCGAACGAGACGCAATCACGCAACCGTTGTCTAAACGGCTCAAACCGTGTTCTACCTTTCCCGCATTACACATGATCTTACATGCACAGCAGCCCGTAGGTAACCCCCCAACCATCCTGCTGCCCCTCCCCGGCCAGCCATCAGAACTGATTACAGGACGGAGGTCCGGCGATCGAATTACGCTCGCGCTGCAGCTGCGCTGGTGGCTGCACCGGCAGAGGTGTCGTCAACCCGCCCGGAGGAGACCCCAGCGAGCAGCTGTACGCCGGGGGCAGCGAGGTCCCAGCAGACGTGCCGCTGGTGCCGCCAGCAACCATGCAACCGGCGCCAGGGACACCCAGCACACATGTATGCGAGGGTGCTGCAGCCAGCTGAGCGTGGGGTCGCGGCTGGTGCAGGACCCCCAGCCGTGCTTCGTCACTTTCCTCCTTCTGCCGCTGTTGCTCCGACAGGGGGTCCTCGGGCCCGTTACCAACAAGCACTCCGCTACCACCAGCACCAGCGCCGCCACCGTCCGCGCTGTTGCTACTAAGCTCCATGCCTGTCGCGCCGCCACGGTCCCCTTCAGACATGCCGTCTGACAGCCCGCTGTCTGAGCGAGACGTAGCTGACCTGCCCCCGTTACCGCCACCGCGGACAGCAAAGCTGCCCCGAGTGGCCACCGCGCTCATCGCCATTGCAGCTGCCGCACAAGTCGAGGTACCAGCGGCGCTCTCTGAGCTGCCTGAATCCGCCATCATAATCCCAAGGCCAACCGATGCGATGGCACCGCTAGGGTGGTAGCCTGAAGCAGCGGCCATTGCGACAGCTGTGCCGCCGTCTGAAGTGGTTTCCTCCGTCCGCCGCGATGCGGCCGCAAAGTTGCGCAGCAGGGCCGTCTTCCGCAGATCCAAACCGCCAAAACGAGAATCACTCGGTGAGGAGGGCATATCGGGCAGCATTCCTCGGCCCCCCGACGTATGGCCCCGCGGGTAAGGACCGCGTCCCATGTGCTGCTGCTGGTGCTGCTGTTGAGCTGCGCTTGCTGGACCCGCCGGCCCGGCACCTTGAGGGGCGTCGGACATTCGCCGAGACAGCGCTCCCTGGGACGAAAACGGCGAGCCGGTGGAGCCGCTGATGGCCCCATGACCCACACCCAAATGCGCAACTGATGACGCCGATAAAAGCACACCAGGCGGTAGGGGTACTCGCCCCGTAGCCACCCCGCCTACTCCGCTTGCTACTGCTGCTGTAGCTATAGAAAACCCAGCCGTGGAAGCTCCAGAACCATGACACCAAGGAGTGCCGCTAAGGCTCACGGAGCGTTCCCGCTCGTACAGCAAATCCGAATCCGCAGTTTCGCTGGTGGACTCCGCTGTAGCGGCAGCCGAGGCCTTGCTGCCTGATGCCCCTGTAGCTCCTCCTGCACATCCTCCTTGCGAGTGGGATGCATCGCTAACGTTCATGGGCTGCGCAACCTCCCCCCCAGCGGGGTCAGGCAGACCCTCGCTCATCTCCGAGATGCAGGTACGCTGAGGGCTGCAGCCACCGGGGGGTGTCAACGGGCCCGGGCCGTGGCTCTGGGCGAAAGTTGAAAACAGGTGCGCCTGAGGAAGCGGTGGGAGAGCGGCATGCGGGTGCGTGAGGCTGTGTATGTCGCCCCCAGGGATGCCCAGGCCGCTGGTGAACGGTAGCGGCGCCGCGCTGGGTGAGCTGATGTGGCGCAGACTCATGTGCCGCGTCAGATTGTTGGCCATAACCTGAAGCAGGATAGGAAGCCAGAGGGGAGGGAAGAAAACTTGGGTAATAGGGCTGTGGGTCCAGGTCGGATGCTGGAAAGGGGGAAGGCGAGTGAAGTGCACCTAGAGGGGCGGCTTGTAAAACCCACCTATGCGCCCTAAAGTCCCCTCGGCAGCAAGAGACAGCTTCGGGCACACCACGAGCGTTACACAGAGCGCGCGAAAAGAGCGGCTTAGAACATCATGGGCCCCCGTTCGCGAAATGGAGACCCATGCTACGGGTAAAAGACTAGACAGGTTTTGACAACAAACCATGGCTGCCGCCAATGTGGACGCACCTCAGACAGATATCGCTTGGATGCCTGCACGTTGTAATCGATATCTGGGTCGCTGACCGGTGAGTAACGCCAGCTGCCGCCACCTAGCACGTCATCGTAGGGACCTGTCTCCGGCCCTGGGTTGCTCCGCTGCCTTTTCCGCATTTGTTCATGGACACACGGCGTGGAATAGCTGCCAGTGGGAGGAGATCCGCCCGCGCCTGCGCCTGTGCCCCTGCCGTCCATTTGAGGAAAGGACCGTGAGGACAGAAGCCGTAGGCACCTTTCCCAAATACAAAATTGTTTATTTTCTGTGTCTCATTCGCATCCAATCAAGCAGATATCGATAAAAGAAAGGCAGTCACCCCGCTGGCAATGTGCATAGTCAGGACTCCTCCGGAACTTGAACCAAAGAGATATCATTACCGCTAAAAGCACATCAAAATAGTAAATGCCGTAGGTCTTGTCACTGCTAGTCCTTTCCGTACAAAAGAGGCGATCCATGTGGGCGATCCATGTTTCTAGCGCGCCGGATTCCCTCATCCTAACATAGAGCACAAAATAACACACCTTACTATCGCTGCCCTACTACCGGATTGATCTTTCGCGAAACGTCACTTAAGACAGACGAAACATGCAGGTAGACATGAGCGAATTGCTTTTCGCAAAGAGCTATGGCAGACAAGAAGTAAGTCGATCAATTCTATCAAACGCAGGCCGTGCTGGTTCCGGTGTCGCGTGCAACACCTCTTTGTACAAGGTGGGCCACGGAGGCTGGTCGCAACTACGGTGGCCGTTCGTATAATTGGCAGTTGCTCCTCATGTTCTCATGTCTTTCGCAGGACGTCGCAGCTATGCCCGGTACAAGTGCGCCACCGTGCGCGAATGCTCTTCAGAGTGCTGGCTTCAAAGGATAGCAAGGACGACGTTGTGTCGGGTGGGTGCTGTAGGTCCAATACTCCCCCTTGATGGGCCCTCAGCTACCATGCTGGCAGTCCTCGGGCGGCCTAGCAGCAATCCAGGTGACAGCATGTGACGTAACTGTTAGGTAATCGGCTCCTTGGTTCACATGGTCAGACTTATCGCTTGCAGCTGCGGTACAGCCCTCTTAATGGGTGCGCCTTCGCTTCCCCTGTTTCCCAATTGCATTTGGCTTGTGCTTTTGGAGCGTTTTACCTGGAACCCTCCCCCATCCTGCACCTCCTTTCCCCTACGCCCCTCTCTTACCCCCACGCCTACCAACCGCGGCCTGACTAAGCCAGGTGCCATCAAGGCCGCAAATGGCCTTGTGGATAAGGCCACCGACCTGGTGCCTGAGACCGTGCCGCGTCCCGCTGCCAGGGCGGGAGTTGCCATCGCCAGTGTCATGTTCATATTCTGGTTGCTTCAGAAGGCAAGTGCTGGCATGGCGTGAACCGGAGTTACCCTAGTCGATACTGACATCGACATCTGAGACATCGTAGGGAGATGGGTGGCCAAGGCGGTCGTTTGATACACCACCAAGTCAACCACGTGCACGAATCTGTATCAAGATTTCAAATAGCGCCGTCCATGCCTATGTACGAGATGACAGCCTATGTTCGAGAGGATAACCTGCCCGTGGATGTACTTAACGGATGCCGCTGCCCTCGCCTGTCCGCTTCCTCACGGGGCAGGTGATCTCGGGCGTGCTAACCTTGGCATTGTTCGCGGGAGTGGGCTACTACTTCTTGACGCAACAGATGGCGGACAAGGACGACACCATTGACGTGACGCCACCCTCCAAGAAGGGCGGCCGCTCCGGGGAGGACTTGGATGACCCGCTGGCGGAGGCGCGCCGGATCATGGACAAGTACAAATGAGTTGCGTTGTGGATAAACCAGTCCTTTGCCAGACGTGCAAAGATGAACTGTCGCTCTAGGCGCACCAAACATGTTACAGGACTAGAACTTACGACTGAAACTGTTTGAAAAATAGTAATGGGGCTAGGAAGCTTTTTGCGTGGGGTTTGCTGGTGGCCCTTTCTTTTTGGCATTCGACGTAGCCATTCTTACAGGATGGCGTTTGCTGCGGGTTATGGTTATGAGATTTTTTGGTTGCCAGTGGAACATACCTGTGGACAGTGCAAGGCTTATTCGCATGGGTTGTGGACATGGGACACTCGTGAATTTGGTTTTCGCCAGCGCCCGAGAGAAGTTGAATAGGCTTTAGGGTATGGAAGGTAAGGTGCGGTTGTATCTATCACTTGCTAAGCTGTTCCTTTACAGCAATAATTTTTGTCCATGTACACAGTGGTTAAAAGGCGTGTTGATGTGACCGTGCTAGAGGTCATCGCATGCGAATTCCGTGCATTGGTGGTCACATCGTACAGGCCGTGCCATCTTTCTTCTGTAGAAAGACAGCTGCGAGATTCTTGAATGATTTCACGTGTAGTTCATGTGTTGAATGACATTTTTTATTTTAGCCAACCTTGAACATTTTACCGTGAGCCCGCTGAATCATGACAGCCAAACCACAATCCTCCAGCCGTCTCCAAAAGCTATTAAACCTTCTCGAGAGTGAGTCCACCACGGCAAATACAGGCAGTGGACGCATAGGGTAAACGCAGCACTGACTTGGGCTTTTCTTTATTGCAGCCGGAACCTCTGATGCTACTCGCAAAGCTGCTGCTAAGCAGCTCTCTGAAATAGCAAGGGCCCACCCTGATCAGTTGCTTTCCACCGTGCAGAAGGTGCGTCATTGCGCGCAAGCGTGCGCCGACACAATCGCCCCTCCTTCCCCTGGCACGGAATGCCGTCGTTCCTGTTTGATTGGTGGGCTTTTGATCCAAATTTATAATCTAGCTCTTACCACCCTTCTTAATCCAAGTATCCGCTGCCGGCGCATCGCGTAGGTACATGTCTACCTGTACAACAAAAGCTGGGAGACTCGCGTTGCAGCTGGAGAAGCCCTTGCGTGCCTGGCAGACATATTTGAGCATCACACGCCCGATGATCTGCGGCAGCATGCCGTGGCATGCGGCGTGGACGAGACAGCCCTGGCGCAGGCTGTGGGGACTGAGGCGCCGCTCAGCTTTTTAAATTTCAGCTTGCAGCAGGTCCTGGAGCGGGGGACGCCGCTCGGTGCCTCGGGGGGTCAGGTAAGTCATCATTGGGTGTTGAAGGCCACAATTTGTCCTACATACCGGCGTGGGGCCCTGATGATAATGGCCAGGAAATATCTTCGCCCGCAAGCCCTGCCAAATACTGTTAGGTCTCACAAACCGTCTACGTACAGCTCCTGCCCAACTTTCCCCTACCCGTTTTTGCCATATCGCTTCTGGCTACCGATTCTGTGTGGCCCCGGATTGGATAATCGAACAAATAGGGCAAATGGAACCCGGCCCCACGCCTCCTCTCCTTATAATCTGTTGACAGGAATTTGATTTGGTTTTGGAGCCAGGGCTGACAGCCAAGGCTCGGCTGGCGGCACAGCGGGACATGCTCAAGAAGCGGTTGGGGCTGGACCGCGACATGGGCCTGGACGCAGACGCGCTCTTCAATGATGAGGACCTGGAAGCGGCGGAGGAGGTCTGTTCTGGGGGAGCAGCAGCTGCTCGGCACCATGCACGCGGGGCCGGTGGAGGCGGTGGGACGGGAGGAGCACCAAAGCCGCAGCAAATGGCAGCGCAGGAGTTGCTGCGCAGTATGGACTCGGAGAAGCTGTCGGCACGAGAGCGAAACCGGCTGAAGCGGAAGGCCAAGTTGCTGGGTCGCTCAGATTCGCTGAGATCCGGGGATGCGGCGGCTTCCGGGCAGCAGCAACCGGGGGCAGGACCGGGAGCGGGAACGGCAAAGCACAAGGTGGCCGCGGAGGGGGCGGGTGTGTAGTATCGTCTGCGCATCATGAGATCTGCATTCACCGTTCGGTCCTTTTTTGAAAGAGTCGTGATATAACAATTGGTATCGAGTACGTATTTCGGTTCTAACCCGGGTTCGAATCTCAGTTGAAGCGGTTTCTGCGCGGGAGGTGGCAGCCGCGCCCGCTGGTTATCCTGGGGTGGGTGCTGACACCTCATGGAGACCCTGAGATTGACCGAGGTCGAGGACGCCCTCTACAACTAGAGGGGGGATAATTATAGCATCCTGGAGGGCATGATCACGGGATCTGCATTGACCGTTCGGTTCTTTCCTGGAGGAAAAGTTGGATATAACAGCGGGTGGGGCGGTGGGAGGGAGGGACCTGGGATGTGAGGCTAACATGAACGGGTGACCGGGCTGCGACATAAACGCACATATGTTTATATTTATGCCTTTTCAGCATAATCCTAATTAGCTCGTGGGGGGGAATATGGCGACGCTGCGCGGCTGCAGCCTTTATCCATGCCCAGGCTGGCGGTGTACAGTTGCGGGAAGTGCGACTGCCAGGCGTTCCGGTGCACCGCAGCACCCAGCTAGCCATGCTTGAGTAGTGCAACGTTGGTCAATCACCAGGAAGGGGGGTCTAAAGAGCACCTCCTTCAGTCATTCGCATGCCTCCTCGCGAATGGACGCAGTTGCTCCGCACGCGCGCAGGGTCCCATGGATAATGACGGAAGCCTGGGTGGCAGCGGCGCCGAAGAAGGAGCGAGCGGAGGGACTGGTGCGGCTGCAGCGGCGGCGTCCGTGGAAGTCGGCGAAGATGAGGTACGGGCGCCACCCACTAGGAATCAGGGTTCTTCACCAGGATACCCAAAAATTTCGGTCGTGCTCGAAACCCTCTTGAGCAACCTATCGGGGCCCTCCCTGGAAGTTTCCCTGTCAGCCTGACGGGTTTTTTCGGGCACCCCGACGGGTCTCACTTCCTTCCCAGCTCGTGTGCTTGTGTGTCCTGACCAGCCTCTCATGTGGGCCGCCCCACATTTGTGTGCGCGCTGCAGGACACAGACCCTCTAAAGTGTCCAACCAACCAAAGCACTCCAGGAACACGATCTCTTACGCCTCTTGCTGTTGCGGTCCGCAGGTCCAGCTTGTTTCGGAGGGCGGCTGGCCTTTCCAGCGGCTGGGGGACCAGCTGGTAGTGGACAGTCTCGACCCTGTGTGGGAGGTACGGCATGGTGCCGTACTCGGGCTCCGGGAGCTGTTGCGTGGCCACGCGGCATGCGCCGCAGTGGAGGCCCCGCTGGACGGAGTGCCCTCGGGCTGGGCGGTGCCGGGGGGCCAAGGTGAGGAAGGAAGGGGGAGGGAGGGAGGGCAGGGCTACACCGCCAACACACCCTTGCGGGACACTGTCTAAGGGTCGCTGGACACCCGGCCCCATCCCATTACCTTGCCAAGATGCCTCTGCTGCAAGCAATTGGAGGAGTGGCCGCCGGAACCAGCATCCTGTCGGCGTTCTGTCCATGCCCCTTTGCCAAGTTATGTCTCCTATCCTGGTTGAATTGAATCGCTGTGCTACCCTGGACAACCTTGAAGGAGCCGCTGGCAGTGCAGCACGTGTGTGCCGAACGGGAAAAGGGAAACATCTGAAGGAAATGCTAATCCTCGTTTTTTCTCTTCCATGGACCGTCCTTGCGTGCAACGTTTCCCCCGTTGCAGGCAAACGTGTGCTCGGTATGGTGAGTGCTGCCCAGGTGGCTGCTGCCCGGGCCAGCAACCGGCGCTGGCTGGAGGACTGCATCGTGCACCTCCTGTGTGTGCTTGCACTGGACAGGTTTGGGGACTATGGCTCCGACCAGGTGAGGTGGGGTGGGTGGGGCTGGGATTGGTGGAAGGGTTGGGTTGTAGAGGTTTGGGCTGGGGTTTTGGAGGTTCAGACGACAAAAATGATATCTGGGAAGGGTTGATGCGTTGTTGACTCGTTTTTTCCTGCGTATCGTTATCCTCACACTTGCTTCCTTACCCTGACCGTTGCCTGTACTTGAAGCCCAAGTTTAATGCGCCTGGTCTTGCGGTGCTGCTCGTTTGATGATTATCACGTGAATCGCCGAGGACTCGGGCTGCTTCGCTGACTGCAAGTCCGACTGCCTCGTTTGCGGTCGCAGGTGACGGCGCCCGTTCGTGAGACTGCGGCTCAGGCTCTCGGTACGGCACTGACGGCTCTGGACCCCGGCTCGGTGCGGGCGGTGGCGGCCATGTTACGGGATCTGCAGGGGCAGAACGACTGGCGGGTCAGATACGGTGAGCTGAGTGAAGTGATGGTGGGGAGGCAGCGGGTTTTCGGCCCCATCGGGGGCCCCTCCGCGAATTGCCTACACCAACTTGCCGTCTCCCACGTGCTTGATTTTTTTAGGATTTCCAGTTGCCAGTGACGACCGCGTGTCTAGAATGGCCTTTCGTAGTCAATCAGTTGACGCTACCGCTATTTACATTCGTAACACAATTGTGATACATGCGCCATACATGTGTTCCTTGCATGCATCATTGTCCGTCCACCGTCCAATCAGCTGACCCAACGATCTCTGGCCCCTCTGGCTCCTGCAGGTGGCTTTTGCGGCCTCAAGTACATGTTGGCGGCCCGACTGGACCTGGCTCGCGACCTGCTGCCGGCAGCCCTGCCGCTGCTGCGCCGGGGCTTGGCCGACCCGGATGACGACGTGCGGGCGGCATGTGCGGATGCACTAGTGCCCGTGGCGGGGGCGCTGGGAGTGGTGGGACCACAGGCAAGGGGAGGGAAGGGAAGGGGGCGAGGATGGTGGCTGAAACCTGAGTGCGTTGGGGTAAGGTCCTAGCAGGCGATGGTTCGTGAGGAGGATGCAGCTTGTTCGGCATTGGAAGACGATGCCGCTGCCCGCCGCGTAATTCCATGTCCTGTCGTCCTTTTCCCCTGCGACTGGCGTCAGCTTCGTTCTCCCCTGGCGGCTGCCGTGCTTTGTTCTACATTAGGGCTTGTGTTTTTAGTTGTGCGTTTCCATTGTTATGCGTGTTTGTTTGTTGTTTTTGCCACATTGGTAGGCGCGCATTGGTAGGCGCGCTTACCTTATTGTAATGCTAAGTTGTCTGCCCTTTATCCGCGCACGTGGCCGCTCCAAAACCACGCAGGCCGTCGCCGAGCTCAGGGCTCAGCTGTGGGACCTGCTGCCGCAGCTATCCGACCTATCCGCCGCCACCAACAGCGTCATGTCGCTGCTCGCCCACCTGTACGGCAGCGGCCCCGGGGCCGGCGCTGCTGCCAGTGAGGAGCTGATGGCGCTGGTGCCGCGCCTCTTTCCTTTCATCCGCCACACGCTCAGCACCGTCAGGGCGTCAGTGATGCAATGCCTGGAGCGAATGCTTGCACCGCCACCGCCGGCTGCGGGTGGGGGCCCCGAATCCGCCTTGGCAGTGGCCGCCGCGGCGGCAGCTCCGCTACCTCCGCCGCCTTGGCTTCAGCCGCTGGTGCCGGCACTGTTCCAGCTGGTGTTTCAGAACGTAATGGTTGAGGGCGAGCAGCGAGTGTTGGATGCGTCGGTGCGGGTTTGGCGGCTGCTGGTGCGCTGTGCGGCCCCCGCCACGCTGTGCGAGGCGCTGGCTCCGGAGCAACTGCGGGCGCTTATGGCGCTGGGGTCCACGCAGGTGCGGCGGCGGTGCCGGACGGGCAGGAGGGTGGGCCTCGGGTTGAAGCACGGGCGGCATGTGGTGTCGTCTGGTGACAGAGATGAGGTATCGTCGCTGAAGAGGAGGAGGAGGACTTGTTGAAGGGTTGTTGGGCTGCGTGCGTCTTTGCGTCAGAGTGAGTGTGAGGGCGCAGCGGGTGCAGTTTCCCCTGGTTCCCGAGTGCACCGTTTAGACCGCGGTAGTGACATGTGGGGGCCGCTTGATTGGTTGTCCTGGTGCCGTACAGTATATACATGCTGCCGTGACACATTCCTGGATCCATCATGGAGTATGGGGGTTATGGCATGTTGTGGCCGCTGCAACACATGTCACATACACAGGTCGGTCGCGCTCTGGACCCCAACTTGGTGTTGGTGCCGTACGCTGGTGAGGCTGGTCGGCTCATCCCGCTGGCCCTGGTCCGCCAGCTGGTGGGTCCCGCCTCGGGCACAGTTGACGCCGCAGCTGTGGGCGCCGGCTCCGGAACCTTCCGCAGCCCCAAGCGACCCCGCAGCTCCGCTAAGCAGCAGCAGCAGGCCGCAGCGGCGGCGGTAGCGGCGGCGGCGGCCGCGGCAGCAGCAGCAGCAGCTGGTCCTGGCGTACCTACGGACTTCATCGTCGGGACGCAAGGAGAGGAGGGCGTGGCGCGGATGAGGACCACCGCAGCGTCCTGCCTGGGAATGCTACTGGCGTGCGCCCATGCCAATGGTTCAGCCGCCGCCGCGCCGGAGCTGCTTGCCGGACTGTCCTCCCCCTCTGCCACCGCCCGACAGTTCGCCGCGCTTGCAGCCTGCGCCTGGCTGCAGTACGCCAAGCAGCAGCTGCGTCTGCTACAGCCGGACCTGCAAGATCAAATGCAGCATCATCATGGTCAGGGGCAGCAGCAGCAACAGCAGGGCCTGTTGTTGCTGCCGCCGCCGCTGCTGCAGCAGGTTTTTGCTGCACTTGCGGCGACATCGTGCATGACACCGCTTGCACCGGCGTCTCTGGAACCGTATGCGGAGGTAGTGCCATACTATGCCCAGATGCGGCGTGAGGTATTGGCTCTGGTGGCTGCAGCGGTGGAGGTGCACGTGCTGCTGCCGCTGCCACAGGGTGTGGCGGTGGAGAACGTCAGCGCAGAGCACGCGGCGGCGTTGGTAGCGGCGGCAGCGGCGGCGGGCCCGTCTGAGGGCTCCCCGCTGGCACTTGCATGCTCCCGGCTCCGAGGGGCCCTGGCCTCCCTGCAGGTGAGGCGAAACTGGCATGTGCGTGTCGTACATGCACGTGTTACATGCATGTTGGCAGGCATGTGGATAGATAGGTTCGGTAGATAGGTCCGCCTGTATACAAAGAGTGTAATGGAAAGACTCGCGCATCAGTAAAGGTCTCTCCTGCGCATTGATCCGGGTTTAAGGCGTCCCGGAGGCGCCATCGCGCCACCACGCCGGGTGGTGTTATCGTGTGGACAAGCACAACGGCTGTGTGTGTATGTGTGTGTATATGTAAGTCGCACGGTGTGTTGTCACTGAGGGCACTGCACCGCACCGCACCGCACCGCACCGCTCGCTAACCGGGCCTCGTTCCTCCGCCCCGTCCTGGCCTACCTCACAGGCCCTGGAGCAGTACCTGCACGTGACGGCGCTGGCGTTCATGGCGTCCGCCGCCGTGCACAGCGGAGTGTTGCCGGACAAGTTCAACACCGTCATACAGCCGCTGATGAACTGCCTGCGCAGGGAGCCACAGCTGAGGCTGCAGGTGGGTGCGTCTAGGGGGGGATTGCCCGGGGATAAGCTGCCGCAAAGAATATTGCTGTTTAGCGGACTGGCACACCATCCCCTGGCGATAACGGTGTACTGTGACTCGCATGCAGGTGCAGGTGCAGGTGCAGGTGCAGGTGCAACACGAGGCTTCATATACTGCACCTGTGTCTTCAGCTTTCCGCCCACGGGCCACAACAGGCGCAGCGTCATTGAGCCATCGATCCAATCTTGCAGTTACTTTTAACCTTCCCTTGCCCTACCCTGTCCTGACTTGTTCTGGGCCTTTCACAATCACAGGAGGTCTGCGCCGAGGGTCTGTCGGAGCTTCTGGCGCTGTGCTCGAGTCGCACCCCCAGCCCCAACGACAAGTTAGTACGGAACCTGGTTGCCATGGCGACAGCGGACCTGCTCACGGCGGCGGCGGCGGTGGGGCCGGCAGCTGGGCAGGGGCTTCAGCAGCAGCTGCTGCTCCCTGGTGAAGGTGAGGAGCTGGGACTAGGCCAACTGCAGGTGTGAGGGGCGCGGCGTGGGCTATGCTGCTGGCCTGAAATGTCTTCCCCGGGGTTCGGATTACGGCCCATCTGCGTGTCGTTTACGGTTCCCATCCTCTCAACATTATTGATAACAGGAGTGCTAAGGCTTTTTAAGGTGAGCTGGGCGCTTTGCGCGTGTCGATGGGTAGGCAGCGTCCGTAGTCCCGCGCATGTTCTCGCAGTAGCAGCAGTAGCAGCAGCCTGTGCTTGATGTCTTCCCCCTCTCCTGCCAACGGCGGCAGCAAGCGAAGACAGAAATGTGCCGTACCGCATCTCGCCTTCAGCCCTAAGGGTTCCCCACCCCCTCGCCCTGGTTTCGTCTAATGGCCCATCCTGGCCGCAGACCCTGGAAGCAGTGGTCAGCAGAGCGTCTCCCGTATCAGCCGCCGGGGGGGTGAGGCCGCACTGGTGGCCATCGCCAGGCGCTTCGAAGCGGCGCTGTGGCAGCAGTTGCCGACGCTCTGGGCACTGGTGGCGGGACCACTGGGCGCCGCCGTCGCCGCTCCGTCCGGTGCTGCGGTGCCCGCTGCTACGGCTACGGCTACGGCTCCTGTGGCGGGGGCGGGGGCGGCAGTGGAGGGCGAGGTCGTGGCTGCGGTCGGCAGCCTGCACGCGCTGAGAGTTCTCGGCCCAGCCCTGGCGCCTCAGTTGCTGCCCAGCGTGCTGCCGCTGCTGCAGGATGTATGCCGCTGGGCTAGGCACACCGACCCACGGGTCAGGCAGGCCGCGGCCAAGTGTGCCTCCACGCTGGCGCGGTGCTGGACCGAGGGCCTTATGCCGGAGCTGCTGAAGCAGGCAAGGCTTCGTGCTGTTGTGCACCTTCCCGTCCATCAGCAGTGCTCGGGTCCTCATGTCCGATATGTTCCTTCTGGCTCCTGCCCTCCTGATGCTGATTCGACCCTGCGTTGTTTTCTTGCAGCCGGCATGTACGGGCATGATGCGACACGAAGTAGCATGACACGACAGGGCATGACACGACATGACGTGACACGACAGGGCATGACACTACAGGGCATGACACTACAGGGCATGACACGACATGACGTGACACGACAGGGCATGACACGACAGGGCATGACATGGTGCCGTCCGCCACCGGCAACCCCGACCCCGACCCCCTTCACGCGACCAGGTGGTGCCCATGCTGACGTCTTCTGAGGACGGTGTGCGGCTGGGTGGGGTGGAGGTGGTTTCGGCGCTGTGTACAGAGCTGGGCCCTGCGCTAGTACCGTACGTGGTGCTACTGCTGGTGCCGCTGCTGCGCCGCATGAGCGACCCGCACCAGGATGTGCGTGCGGCGGCCAGTGGCTGCTTCGGATCGCTCATGACGCTGCTACCGCTGGCGCAGGTAAGTGGCGGGAGGGAGGGTGCGTGCGGAAGAAACAAGCGCGAAGGTGGTCCGTACGGGCGATGGAGCACATTGGCCTATTCGGTAAGGGCCCGGCCTGGCCCCGCCCGGCAAGGGCCTGAAGTCTGAACTGCAAGGGGACCATCACCTCCAGCAAGGCGCCTCATGCGTCTTAGGACTGCGTTTTGACGGGCCCAGGCAGTACGGCTGGATGGATCGAAAGGACCCTGCACACCTGTACACCTGTACACAGAGCCGGAAGAGGACACGATTGCACATTACTGATTTGTACGGCCGCATCGGCCGCCACCTAACTAACTCGCGCAGGGCGTCCCGACACCGCCTGGCCTGGACGACGACCAACTGGCTGTCGTACACGAAGACAGCACCTTTTTGCTGCAGCTGCTGGACAACCGCAATGTCGCGGCGTACAGCTTGCCATTCCAGCTGCCGTACACTTTGCGGCCGTACCAGCAGGACGGTATCAACTGGCTGGCCTTCCTGCGCCGCTTTGGGCTTCACGGCGTGCTGGCGGATGACATGGGCTTGGGGAAGACCTTGCAGGTGGCCAGGGGGGGGGAGGGGAGGGGCAGGGCCCGTAATTAAATGGCTGGGTGGCGGGTTTCGGACCGAAATGACTGTGACGGTGATTGCGGCGGAAGCCTGCCTGTATTACTTGAGCAGGAGGAGCCGCACCAGTGGGTCCCCGGGTGGTGTTGTCACCACCACCAGCTGGACACCCGTCCACTCGGCCTCAGACGCAAGGGCAGCGGAGTCCCCCCCACCTTGACGCGTCCCTGACTCTTTCACTGAACCCAACTGTCAACTGTCAACTGCCAACAGGCCTCGTGCATCATGGCCGCAGCAAGTCTGGAAGCAGAAGCCGCCTATGCAGCTGCAGCCGGCGGCAGTGACGGTGACGATGGCGGTGATGGTGATGGCGCTGCAGCAGCTTCCTCGTCCCCTTCCCCCCCGCCTCCTGCTGCTCCGCTCCCCTGCCTGGTGGTGTGTCCCGCCACTTTGGTGGGGCACTGGGTTCACGAGGTGCAGGCCACCATAGGGCCCGCGGGGTTGCGGCCGCTGCAGTACGGCGGGCAGCCAGGGGAGCGCCTGGCGACTCAGGCGCAGTTCGACAAGTGAGTAGCAGCGGCCTGGCGGTGCGGGTAGTGGTGATGGTGGGAGTATCGGCAGTGTGGAGTCTCGATTACTCCACCTGCTAGCGGATCCTTTGCAAAAGCGCATGTACGTACGTACGGACGTGAATGTGACTGTGCCGAGGTGTGCTCGTTGAGGCGCGAGGTAAGATACACTCAACTAACCTACTAATTTCCCTGCTCCTCCTCCTCCTCCTCCTCCACCTTCTGGAAACCAAGGAAGCTCCCAGCAACAACCCTCCCCCCTCTTTCGCGGTGGCCGCTCAGGTCGCTCCGCGCTGTGAGTCCCTCCTCGCCCCGCTTGCCGTACAACATGTTGGTCATGAGCTACGAGTCCCTTAGAGCCGACATTGACTGGGTGGCCTCCCGCCGCTGGTTGTACTGCGTGCTGGATGAGGGTCACGCCATTCGCAACCCGCGGAGCCGGGTCACCCAGGCGTGCAAACGGGTGGTGGCGCAGCACAGGTATGGGGGTGGGGATGGGGGTGGGTGTGTGCGGGGCAGAGAGAGTGCGTGTAGGTTCGTGTGTGTGTTAAATGATCTGAGTGCCGCGATGAGCGAAATGCGCGGATGGTGTACACGAATAATGTCCGGTACCGGAGTGAGCTTCGTATTCCAGTGACGTGTTTAAAGTTTCCAATAAACTTCACAATGGCGTGAAGGGCGACTAGGTGGTGGGGGCTAGGACTGACGACAAATAACGAGGGAGCCTAAAGTCCCATAGCTAGTTCGGCAGCGAAAAACCTATTCTCCTGTCCTAAGCTAGCGGACAAATCAGAGGGGCATGCCACCACAGCGCGTGCGGTGTGACGACAAGCAAGGTGCCTCGCCCCTTGGGGTCACAAGCAACCCTTCCCGTGACCTGTGAACAAAGAGAAAAGGCTAAGGATGTTGGTGGAGCAGCAGCAGCAGCAACAGCAACAGCAACCAAAGTCAGTAGATGTTGTTCGAAAGACGTACGAGGGCATGCGAGGGCAAATGATCACCTGGGCTTAAAAGTGCCCGAGCTAAGGCCTTCTGAGCTTCGGCTTGCTTGATTTACAACCTGAGCTAATGGCCCAAGCTCAGAAGGCCTTAGCTCGGGCACTTTTAAGCCCAGGTGATCATGCGCTGCCGCTTGC